ACAAACCGGCCTGAGGATTTCCTGCCATGAAAGGAGGTTGTTTTTTTTCTGCAGCTTAGGGACAAGTGGTGTTGAGCAAGAGGATTTGTCAGCTGATTCCCTGCAGACATTTGTTAGAATTTGGTGGGAAGATGCAGAATTTACTATTCTCAGCAGTGGGCTGAGCTCCCAAACCTCTCTGTGTTCCTGCCATCCTCTGGGGAGGGGGTATCAGTGTGCTGTGTCCCTGTGTCAGTGATTAGCAGTTTGTGTTGATGGGCAAAACATCAAATAAGCGAAAACTCCCCAGATGGAAATTTTGCCCATGGCAGAGGAGGTGAGGGCTTCATGGAAAGAGAGAAATATGATGCCCTGATGTGTAGAAATACATTTTGACGTGGTGAGAGCCACGGCTGAGAGTTTGGTCCTGCAAATGAAACCAAAGCCAGCCGGTCTGTCCTTGTGTAAGAAGTGATCTGAGTTGGTCACTGAGCAAGAAGTGATTTCAGTTGGTCTGAAAAGTCAAATGAATGAGGCTGTGAACTGAAGTTGGCTGCCCTTGGAGGAACAGATCAGACCTGGGAACACAGGAAAAGATCCTCACAGGAAGGACAAACAAATGCAGTGAGTGCCCCCAGAGGAGTCCCAGCTCCCGGGCTCACAGGGTGCAGGAAGGACTGGAGGGCTTTGTGTGGGCAGGGCCACTGTGAGAAACTCGTGCAGCGTGGGAACTGTGCCCAGAGCAGAGCGGGGACTCCTGGGATGGGACAGGCAGGGGGTCCTTAAAGCCACACACCCTGTGCCCAGGGCTCCACAGGCCACACCAGCTGTGGGCCTGGAAACCAGCCTGGAAACCCCTTCCCTGGCTGTTCCTGTGCTCCTCTGGCTTCTCCAGCTCCCCATCCACGCTCCCCCTCTCCCATCTCTCCCACACTTTGACCTCACACCATGGGACTGTCAGAGCGAGGAAGCAGTTTGGGCTGCAACATTCATTCCACATGACGTGATTCCAGATTAAAGGCAGGAAACATTTAACCCTTTGACAGCCTCCTCCCCTCATCCTGCCATGCCTTGGCTTCCAAACTGCTGCCAAACCACATGGAAATGGGTGGTGAGCATTGATGGCTTTGGGATGCATGTCCTTGTCTTACCAGTGGCTCTCACAGGGGTTCAGGGGTGTCTGGGCTTTGCAAACTGAACATTTCCCCTCAGCCCTGCTCACAGCTCTTGGGTCTTCCAGTGCTGAGATGCATTTGCAGTGTGGGGAAGGCGTGCACTGCCAAAAGTCCAAGAGATGAACCCCTGGCTCCATGTGTTTCACTTCATTCCCCACTTTGAGGTTCATAAGTGCAAATGGCTAAAATTAAAACGACAGAAATAGATAAAATGAGGACTCTCAATGCTCAGCAGTCAGGATTTAGAAACAAAACCTCTTGCTTTCTTTAAAGCTGCCTAATAAATAACACCAGAGTAGCACTTAACATGGAAAATGTGTCATTTCACAGCCCTGACACAAACTTGTATTATGGGTTTTTAAAGCTGCTCTCCTGGCAGATCCTGGCCCTCTCCAGCACTGACTGATGAGCACTACTCAGAGCTATTTGCTATTTGGGGCGGGCTCTTGGACTCTTGGACTTCATAGGTGGTCTTGGCAGCTGAAATGGGTGGCTGAGAGTGGCAACTCCAACCCTCCATTCCGTGCTGGAGCTGTCCCAGCATGTGCCCTGAGAGCAGCAGTGCCACTGCAGTCCTCAGGAGCAGGGTGGGAGGTGCCCAGGCCAGGGGTTGCATCACTGCCCTGAAGGGATGCAGATGGGAAGCACCCAGGGCTCTCCAAGGCCTGGGCTCTGCTCCTCCCTTTCAGCAAGGCAGCTCCAGGTGAGGAGGTCACAGAAACAACATTTGGGTTCAGGCCCACAGAGCCCGTGGTTTTCTGTGCATTTGGGAGGTTCTCACAAACACTGAGCTCCCCCAGCATTCCCAGAGGAGGGATGGGAGCACAGAACTGCCATCAGCACTGTCTCTGTATCCAGCACTGCCAGCAGCCTCTCGCCTTTCCCAGGGCTTGAGGGAGGCTCAGTCTCTCCTATCAAAACCCAGATGCACACAGGAACATCATTTAAAGGTGTTATTTATCCCCCTGCTCTTTGCTGACAGCCCCAGAGCTGCTGAGGTGTGCACAGAGCACCTTGTTCTGCTGGGTACAAATGAAACCAAAATGGAATGAAGAGTCTGGCTCATTCAAACTCACAGAACCCCAGAGTGGTTTGGGTTGGGAGGGACCTTAAAGCCCATCCCATTCCACCCCCTGCCATGGGCAGGGACACCTCCCACCAGCCCAGGTTGTTCCAAACCCCATCAGACCTGGCCTTGGGCACTTCCAGGGCTGGGGCAGCCACAGCTGCTCTGGATCCTGGTCAAACAGTTTGCTCAGAGAGCAGGAGTGGGAGCTGCAGGCCCCAGCAATGTAAACCCACCATCTCCATCAAGCAGAGGGGGACAAGAGAAGAGGCTGTTGCCCTTCAGTGGGATATTCCAAAGCAGTTTTACTTCTTCCTCATGGCACAGGAAAACACTGAGCTTTGAAGTGAAAGGCAGTGCAGAACACTGTGAGGAGTGGTGGCTCCTGCAAGCATCTGGAAACCTGGATTCCAGTCAAAAGTGACATAATTCAGCCCTCTTTGTGAGAGTTCAAAGCCCAGAAAGAGCCCAACCTCTGCTTATCTAGTGAGCTTTGTAACCAGCAGAGAAGGTACAGTGTGTCTCCAGATTCAGCAAAAAAAACCCCCTAATATCTGCTCAAAATGACTGGTTACTGATTGTGAGTGTTCTGCATGACTGCCCAGGGAGAAAAAAACGTCCTGAGGAGCAGTCTCCACAGTGATCCATAATAACAGTACGAGGGATCATCTTCAGAAAATGTGCAGCTTCCCCCTGAGATGCCTGGGCAGACTGCAAGTGTCTGAGTGACGAGATCCAGAGCCTGGGACTTGAAACCCCTTTGGATAAGAAGGAAAATGTAAAAAATGTATCTTCTAAAGAAAAGGAGATTGGTATGACAGCTCCTGAATGGATTGGGTCCCAGGCTTTGCAGAGCCCATCAGCTCCTCTCTCTGCTTCATATTTGGTGTTTTTCCATCTGCAGGAAAAACTGAAGCACCGTGGTTGAGGATGAGCTTTGTCCACCTTGTGATGGATGAAGTTACTGCACCAGAGGAGGCTGACAGATGAAGGGACACTAGAACTGGGTTTGCTGCCCTGCTTTCCATGCACCTGTTTATCCCCAAATCTTCAATAATGGGCAAAAACCTGACAGAGCAGAAAATCCCCAGCTGTCCTGAGCTCATCCACCACTTGCACAGCTGCTTAGAGAAACAACCTGCTTGGCTAAACCACAGGGACTTCAGGAGGAGCAGCAAAACTTAAGAACTTACCAGGTTTAAGTGAGCAGTGACAATATTAATGCATCAAGCACAAAACAGGGCAAGGAAACATTGGGCTAAGCCAGGGAGAGCACTTGGGGAGAAATGGCAGGAATTCAAGAGTTTGTCTAAATCCAGAGTTGTACTGGCTTCGTTTAGCTGTGCTGGAAGATGCTTTGGGTAAACAAGGTCAAAAGACTAAGTAGACACTTTTCTCTCTCTGTAAACCATGCTTGGAGTTCAAATATTGGGAAATAAACTTGAAACTAACTGGCCAAATATCTGTTTCTAAGCCAAAGGAAGAAGAATTGAGGAAGTTTTCGCTTGCTGAGTTAAATGAGAGCAAAGGCATGAATGGAGAGGGAGAGAGGGCTCTGGTGAGAGCAGGGTGGGGGAGTTACCACGGGAAGAGTCTTGCTTTGTCTCCACTGCTGATAGATTGGATCATCTTCTCTAGCCCCACTGTCCCTGCCTTTGAGGCTTCTGAAGTGAAAGTGGAGATCTTTTCTTACATTAATGACATGGTTTTCCTGTGCTGGCCCCAGAGGAGACAGGCCCTGCTCAGAGCAGGCTGGGAATGCCCCAAAGCTCAAAATGAGCAAAGTGTGTCTGTGTCCTGCTGTTCCAGGGGCTGTGCTGGCCCTGCACACAGCTCTGCCACGGGCAGGGGGTCCTGACCCCAAATCTGCTTCCTTGCCAGGGGGCAGAGGAAATCCAGCAGGAGCAATCAGCTGGCAGCCTTCCAGCTTGCCTTGGAAAACAAGGATGGATTCCTGGTCCAGCCCGGGTTCAGCTGGATGCCTCAGGAAGTCACTCTGCATTTACAGCTGACACAGTCCTGGGAGCAGCCAGGTGCCTGGGGACAAACACTCCTGTCTGAGCTGGTCCCTGCAAGCAGGCTCTGAATTTGCTGTTCTGAACCTCTGCTTCAGTGGCAGAGTGGGATCCAAACAGCTCGGTTTTTAAGGAGTGCAGGAGCAAGATGTGACCTCAGCTGTTGATGTTTCAGCTCTCCCTGCTGCAATCTGGGCAGTTCCTTTCCTTCTCGTGGCTGACCCTCTCCTGGGGGTTGTGACAGGAGTGTCCACACCCTCCCCTCACCTGTGGGCACAGCCACTCCAGTCAGAGATCTGGCCCAGAGCAGCAGCCAAGTCACAGCAAGAGTTAAAAACACAGTCCGACATTCCCACGTCCCAGGTCCCACCGTATTTCCGTGGGGAACCAATGGAGATGTGTGAGAAATGCAGCTGTCAGGGACAAGGCAGAAAATAACCATTTACAAACACCCCCAGTGGCTGCCAGGGCTGCTGTGCCTGTCGGTGCCAGCGCTCAGCTCATCCAGGTCCTGCCACAGCTGGTCCTTCCTGTCACTTCTCCCACTTTTGATTCCATCCTTGGGCAGCACAGCTGAGCTCTGTGCACACCTCGAGGGAGGTGCCTGGGCTGGTGGCTGCTGGAAAGACAATTAATTACAAAGGAGAGGGCTTTGAGCTCCTCTGATTATTTGCTCAGCTGTGTCACCCTGGGGCGAGCCACTCTGCTGCTTGGTGCCCAAGCAAACCCAGCTGTAAAGCATCTTGAAAACCAGATGGTGCACAAGGTTTAAAATGCTCAGGAGAATGATGAGGGATGGAGGAAGAAAATTAAAAAAAAAAAAAAAAGAAAAAAGAGGAGTTCTCCAGCTCTTGCTGCCTGTGGGACTAATCTGGACTGAATCGATGTGACTGAGAAGAGAACTTGCTTTGATATCCAGAAAAACACCCCACACTCTCAAACCTTTATTCCCCTTTCCTCTCTTGATTTTATGTCAAGTACCTTCTCTCTCTGCAGGGTTAATCCAAACCTTCAGTGAATCCATGTTTTTCCCTGGCAGCCTGAAGTTTCTAATTCAGGAGCAGGTTCTACATGACTAAACTTTGATCTCTTGCATGATTATTTTTAGGCACCTCATTCCACAGCATTCTTTTCTCCCTGCTTTTCCTGCTGCCTCCAGTGGCACAGGGATGTTCTGGGGCTCAAGTCCTGCCCCCCAAAATAAATTCTGAGCTTTATTGCCCTCTGCAGATGGTAAATCCTGGCTTCAAAGCAATGGCAGAGCCCTCCAGGATTTGTGTCCAACAAAGGAAACGCTGCCGTTCCTGTGGCACAAGAAATGTTGGCCACATGTTTGTATTTAAGAGGAGACTTTAAGTGTTTCAATATTTTTTGGCTTTAGCTAAAATGTAGCGTTTTTTTCCCCCAGGGGAATGTGGGGATTCTTCCTTATGTAAGGAATATCTGTGTGTGCTTCCAAAGCAGGGTGTCTGAGACTGTAAGAAGGGAAACCAATATATTCTAGTCCAGTGTAAACAAGGAATATTGAAAGATGGGAGACATACAGGAGCCATTTTATCCACCACTCAGGAAATACCCTGCATGGTTTTATTAATCACTAATGAAAGTAAAACACTGACAGGTTTGAAACTGGATGAACTTTCTTCCGAGATAAGAAAGGGTTAGAGCTGAAGGAGTGAGCTGCAAACAGCTCTCATGGGCTGGAGCACCAAAGTCTCTTGGGCTTTGATGAAAAAAAAAAACACCAGCAAATTGTCTTCAGCACATTTAGCCTTGTTACACAGTGCTGGGATGGCAAAATACTTAATTGCCATTCAAAACTGGTGATCATTTTTCCAATGGAAAGGCACTTCAGCCTGTGTGTCTCTGCAAACTGCTCTGTTTCATGGTGTTGAATCTTTGGGTTCAATATTTGACCTATTGAATCTTTAGATTCAATATTTGAGCTGTGCTATCAGTGACTTAAAACATTGACACTCTGGGCCATAAATACCATTCCAAAGTGCCCGTGGTGATTACTGACACTGCCCAACCATCAGACTGCTCATTAACCATCACCCAAAGCAGAAACCCCCTGACATCCCCCGAGACCCCCTTTGGGGGAACTTGCCTTTCCTTCTCCCACCACCGCTTGAAACCGAATTTAAAAACAGGTGCAGGTCGTCTGTGGGAATAAAAGAATTTCAAATTACTAAGAACTCAAGGGCCAGCTGTAGGAAACAATAAATAAACCAGAAGGTGAGCTGTAGATGAAGCCAATCCAGGTGATCAGAGTTGTCTGATGTGGGGCCACAAAAAAAATACAAAATGCATTTCCAAGCCCTGGGCTCCACAAATGCTCATCAGACTCAATTTACAGCTGTGCTGCTCAGGATGAGTAGAAGGTTGATTTAGCTCAGCATTTCCAGCTGAAAGTGCAGCTGGGAGTGTTTCTGTACACCCAGCAAAGCTGGGCTTCCCTTCTGTGTCCCTGAGTGTAAATCACCCAGCTCCACGTCCTGGGGGTTGCTCCTGTGGGTCTGTTTGAAGGCAGGGTCGTTCCATCAGCAATTTTACCTGGTCCAAGCCCCTCTCACCACAAGCAGGATGATGGAAGTTCCTGTTGTTGCTGCTGGTCCCATAAACCAGGGCAGCCCATGGGATACAGCTTCAAATCCTTGGAATGCTGGCACTGCCACTGAAGTGTGTGTTCACATCATCTGGGTGCTCTGGGAGGGATCCAGGGAGCTCTGGTCTCCAGCAAAACAACAAAATCAGGAATTCACCAAGCCAGAAATGTCAGGCATCATAAAACCCTTTCTTCCTTAAAAAAACCCAACAAACCTAATGATTTGCACATACTTCACTTGAGGGCCTTGTTTCTTTAAAACAGCATCTTGAAGTCTAACCAGATTGGGGAAAACAAAAAGTTCAGTAGTTTGGGGTGACCTCCTTGCTCTTGATCAATACAGTCCATTTTGGGGCAGGTTTTAAACCATCTGTTTGTCCCTCCCTTGCTGCCACGTAGGAAACCTTCAGAAAAATGAGAAGTGTGAGAAACTGCCTGCAAAATGCTGCTCCAAGGATGTGTTTTGCCCAGATAATCACTTTCAGAAACAGTCAACATGCTTTTAAAGGGAAATAATCCGGAAAAATAGTGATTTAAAAAAAAGCTCCCTTTGAAGGTTGAGGCTTGCATTTGAACAAATCTCTCCCCAAGTTTCTAAGAACACTTTATAAACTGCCATTTAGAAACTTTCAGTTACTACTTTTCACTATTTATACTCTTCATTGACGTTTTGCCTTTATTTTCCACTCTGGTGACCAAACAAATCTGGTGCCTTTTGCTTGCTCAGTCCAGTTCACGCCGCTCTCCTCATGTCCTGCTGCAGTTCATGGCCTGTGTTTGGCAACACCACCATCCCCAAGAGAAGGCACATCTCTTAAGAGCAGGATTTAATCACTTTTATTAATGAAATCCACTTCTGAAGACTAAACCGTTTGACTGTGCCCCTTTCAGAATGGAAATAACTGGGGACAAAACCTTTTTTTTTAAAATCACAGTTTGCAAATTCTTGCCTCAAAGAGCAAATTCTGTGAGTTCCTCTGCACACCCAGTGAGTTCTGTGAGTTCCTTTACAGACCCAGTGAGTTCTGCAGGTTCCTTTACAGACCCAGTGAGTTCTGTGAGTTCCTTTGCAGACCCAGTGAGTTCTGCAGGTTCCTTTGCAGACCCAGTGAGTTCTGTAGGTTCCTTTGCACAGCCAGTGAGTTCTGTAGGTCCCTTTGCACAGCCAGTGAGTTCTGTAGGTCCCTTTGCACAACCAGTGAGTTCTGTAGGTCCCTTTGCACAGCCAGTGAGTTCTGTAGGTCCCTTTGCAGACCCAGTGAGTTCTGCAGGTTCCTTTGCAGAGCGAGCCTGGGTTTTTTGGTGAAGTTGTGAAGACCAGGCCGAAGAGCCTCTCCCACAACGCGAACTGTTCCAGCTCGCTGCCTTTCTGTGGAAACCATTCGCCGTGGCCCCTCAGAGGGCGGTGGCAGACTTCCCTTTGGAGCTCAGGGCCTGTTTCAAGCGCCTCTTCAGGTCCTGCATGTTGGGGGACTTGGGCCGGACGAGGTGGAGGCCGCGGCGCTTCTCTCCGTTGCAGCTGCCGATGATCCTGCTGAGCTCCTGGCACAGCTGCCGGAAGGCCTCGTGCACGGCCTCGCAGCTCTCCCGCGCCGACACCTCGTGGTAGGAGCCCCCCAGCTCCCCGGCCAGCTGCAGCCCCTCGGAGGAGGACACCTGCCTGGCACGCAGGAGGTCGCCCTTGTTGGCCACGAGCAGCAGGGGGATGTTGGCGTGCGGGTGGATCCTGCGGATGTGCTGGTGCAGCGGGCGCAGCACGCGGTAGCTCTCGTAGTCCGTGATGGAGTAGACGAAGACGAAGCCGTCGGCCCAGTAGATGGAGCGGTTTATCTGCTCCTGGCAGCAGATGCTGTCGCTGTCGTCCTGTGCCAAAGCAACAGGGAGTTAGGGGAGTGGGTAGAGACCTCTCAGTCGTAGCAGGGCCAGGGGACATCCAGTCACACTGGGCTGGGGGGGCTCAGCCTGCAGAAAAGGAGGCTCAGGAGGGACCTTCTGGCTCTGCAACTCCCTGACAGGAGGGGGGAGCCGGGGGGGGGTTGGGCTCTGCTCCCAGGGAACAGGGACAGGAGGAGAGGGAACGGCCTCAGCTGTGCCAGGGGAGGGGCAGGTGGGACAGCAGGAGGAATTTCTCCCTGGAAAGGATGATCAGGCACCTTGGGGCTGCCCAGGGAGGGGGTGGAGTCCCCACCCCTGGTGGTGTCCAAGGAAGGACTGGATGTAGCTGTGGGCTGGGGGACAAGGTGGGGATGGGGCACAGGGTGGACTGGATGGTCTCAGAACCTTTTCCAACCTCAGTGACTGTGATTCTGTGAACATCAGCAGCAAGGAGGAGTGGAGAGGGGTCAGAGCAAATTGGTTGAAAAGAAGAGAACAGCCAAAACACTGCTGTTGGAAAGTTTGCCCTGTGTTCCACTGTACCAAACCCATCAGAAATTCACTCTGATATTGTGGATAAAACTGTCCTGGGCACATGAAGGGCATTATAAAATTCATCAGGCTTGGCACAAAGTGGTCCCCCAAGGTGTGTCTTAGGGCTTTTTCCAATCCTTTATTCAGTCTCCATGGACAGAGATAATTCTCACTAACTCTGGTGAAGCCTGACAGGTTTCCCTGCCTCACCCATCTCCAGACAGACCAAAGCATTTGAAAAGGCAATTTTTTAATGAAGAACCAATGCCAGGAACTGGCAATGAGGTGAAATGTCCCTGCTGATGGGCAGAGCAGCCACGGGTTCACATCATTTTTTGCTGGTCACACATTTGCTCAGCCCATCCCCATCCTACTCAGCCACAACAATGCCCAGCACCGGGAACAGAAAGCTGAATGGGACACGGTGGGGCTTGCAAACAGCTCAGCTCACTTTTCAAGATGAGGCTTTTTCCAGCTAATCCTCTGCCCTTTGTTATCCCTGCTGGCTGGGTCCAGGGAGATCCCTGCTGCAGCCACTGCCTGCCTGCTTGGTGTGGAAGGACTCCCATTCCTGCCAATATTACAGGATTTCTGGAACTCTGGCATTGCTTTCATATCCAGCAAGGCACCAAGAATATTCTGTATTCAGCTCTTGACGAACCTGGTAGGAATTAGAGGTCTTTTGGGGTGGGTTCAACACTATAAATACAGAGCCCAAACTTCTATTATTGTTGCTGAATTCCACTCAAGAAATTTCCATCAACTATTAGAGCATATGCTCCATTACCTACAGATTAAATATCTGCAATTGACTCCATTATTTACAGATTAAATGCCCTTCTCACTCCCCCCAGAGCCCCTGCCACCCCCAGCCCAGCCCGGGGATGAGGAGGGTGCTCCCTCCCAGCCCTGCCGCGGGTCAGTGAGGGCAGGCTGTGGGAAGAAGGGCAATTTGCGCTGTTGATGTCTGGGCTGTCTCCAGGGTGGGGATAATGAACCCCTCTCCACGGCCTGGAAGCCTCTTTTCACCAGCAAACTCCTTTCACGGCGAGTATAAAAAGCGCTAATTGCGCTGGCAGGCGTTTGGAAAGGGCTGGGAGGGGTGGGAAGGGTTGGGAGGGGGTGGGAAGGGTTTGGGGGAGGTGGAAAGGGTTGGGAGGGGGTGGCCGTTCGGGGAGCCCCAATGAGCACAAACTCTCCCTTACCCCGGCTCGGCCCACCCGGAGGGAGAGGGATGGATAATCCCGAGAGGAATGCTTTATTCGGGAAAATCAAAGGCTAATGGGCTACTTTTTAAATGGAAATCGCCTCTCCAGAATGGGGTTTGAACACACACACACAGCCGTTTGCATGTACAGAGCAGCGCTGGATCACCCAGCAAAGCCCTCATCTGCTTGCTTCTCTCTCTCTCTTAAACATCAACGTTTCTGGTGGCTTGAATCCCGAGGGATTCCACGTGACTTCCTCCTGGAACACTGTCCTCAGCCTGCAGAGTGCAAGAAGCTCTCTTCCCTAAGGATTTTAACCAAAAATCCAACCTATTCTCCATCTCAACCAGCCCTGTTAGGGAACAGTCCCTCCAGTTGCCTCAGATGCACCATTTGATGCAAGCAGAGCCAGCTGAGATAAGGGTGCCTGTGGGAACTGCTGGGACAGTGACACCTTTGACTGGGACAGAGGAAGTGAAACTCTTTCCTAACTAAGGTCAAGTCGTGCCTGACTAAGGAACCTCAGCTGCTGGCAAGGCTTTAGTGGAGCTCTGGGTACAGTCACTGAACTGTAGGGCACAGTCTGAATCAGAAGAGGAAAACCAGACAATAACATATATCTGGTCTGAAAGAGGCAATTAAAATTCAATCATTCCACTCCCTCCTTTCTCCCTGGGACAGAACCCAGAGGGGGTTCCTGTGTGAAGGGGTCACAGGCAGCCCCAGCTGTGCCCAATCCCCACCCACAGCTCCTGCCTCGCCAAGCTGGCAAAGGGCCTTTGTGCTGGGAAGTCCCACTTGAACATCTGCAGCACTTCCACAGCAGCTTTTGTTTGCTTTTTAGTGCCCAGAGCAAATGAGGGCTCCTCTCTTCCCTCTGTGTCCCCCCAAGGCAGCAGAGTGTGGAACTTCATCAAAGCTTTCTGCTTAATCCGCTTCCACTCGTGGGAGAAGCTGGAAGTGGGGACTGACGCTGGGGGAGCTCTGCATGCCCAGGATGGAGCAGTTCCACAGCCCAGAAAGGCACCCCTGGGGCTGGGCAGCTCAGCCAAGGGGTACAGAGCTGTCCAGAGCAGCCTGAAAGAGCAGCAGACAAGGTAGTGTGCCCATCAGACGTGTGTTTGGCCAAGTTTCAGTTTAGACTGAGGGCAAGGGCACACCAGGAAGATTAGGCTTGGTGGTGGAAAGAGAAAACCTGGTTTTATCACGACATCTCAGCTGTTCTATAGGAGTTACTGCTCTCATGAGATTCTCACTGTTCATATAAAACCAAATTTCACTGCATTTCCTGCTGCTTTGACCCCATTTTCATCCTCCTGTTCTGCATGTGAAGCAGATCTTCAAGGAAAGACACACTGATCTTAAATCCTGCTTGGAAAAACATTCCTAGAGACAGGTTCCTAGTGAAATACAAAATCTAGAATATCACAGAATCATTAATGTTGGAAAAGACCTCTAAGAGCCTCGGGTCCAACAGAATATCTAAAACACTGATAGAAACAGGGGTGTAGATAAAGGCCAACACCTTAAAAATAAGGAATTAATTAAAAGCAAGGCAAGGAAACCAGTGAAAAGCACTGGAAATGACACCTGCTGGGAGGCCTCTCCCCTTGGAAAGAAACACTTTCCTGTATCAGAGACACTCTGGGTGTGTCCCAAGGTCTGAGCTGAGCCAGCTGGGCCTCTGGGCAGGTGAATTTTCTGCCTTGTGGGGACAGAAACCATTTGAGAGGAAATAAAATACCCAAGGAGTTGGCAGGAACGAGCCAGGTTGTGCTTTTCCTGCTGTTTAATCTTGGGGAGCACTGATGTGTTTGAAACAGGTTTGGGTTAACTCTGACTTGCTCTTAGAGGAGCCTGATTTGACCACTGCAGGGCTCGTTCTGAGGGGCTTCAGGTACCCCCACCAGTCCTGGGTTCAGGCCCAGGTGCTTTCCTGCTGCCATGGGAGGTCACTTGGAGATGGAACAACCCTGGGACAACGACTGTGTGGAAAAGCACCGAGCAGATTTTACCTCCAGTGAGACAAAGGGAGTGTCCTGCACCTGCAGGGAGATCTGCTCCCCGTCGATGGTGAACTTCCTGGAGTACAGAGCACCTGGTGGGAGAGGAAGGTGGTGAGTCAGGGACTGGAGCAAAGAAGAGAGCACAGAAAGGCAAAAGGGAACTGTTGGAAGGCAGGAGTTTGTAGGATGTGGAGCTGTTGGGAGGCAGGAGTTTGTAGGATATGGACCTGTTGGGAGGCAGGAGTTTGTAGGATGTGGAGCTGCCTGCAGGGAAGTGAGTGGCCCTGCAGGGGTTGTTGGCTCAGTGAGGGGGGTTGTGTTTGCTGGGGGATGTTTTGGATGGACAGCCAGGATGGGGGCTGGGAAAGAAGCTCTTTGTACTGAATCAAATCCTCCAAGTGGGGACATAAATCCCAGTCAGGGTTCACCCCCTATTATCCACTTCATAAAATGTGAGCTGCACTTGTATTTCATCTCAAACCAAGATATCCAGGGGGTGTCTGTAAGAGGAGTGAGCTGCTTCCCACTGCATTTTTCTGAGTGTCTTTAAAAAAGAAAAGCATTCTAGTTTGGGACAGTGAGTGAGTGTATCCAAACCACCCAGATGCTCTTTGGGATTGGCATGATTTTAGCAGAGTTTGGTAGAAATCCCCAAAGACTGGACACTTTGAACCTGACCTGTGGTTAATCTGGATGGCACATGTTCAGGGCCAAGTGCCAGTTCAGACCATTCGGGACTGACCTGGCTCCAATAAAACCATCACTAATCTGGCCTGGAACTCAGTTTTGTTACCAGAGTGGGAGTTAAGTGACAGTGAAAATGTAGGTCTTGACCTTCTGAAATATCTGTGGCTGTGACAAGAACAACTTCAGAGGTTGATGCCATCAGGATTGCTCTGTAGAACTCAACACAAGGCACGGGGATGTGTTCAGAAGTGCTTTCTCCACAGCTGGGGGGCACAGCCCTGCTGTCTGCCCCAAGCACAACACCACTGCTGCCTCTGCATCTCCAGCACAGAGGAATGCCAGCTGCTGCAGAGTCACACTAACAGGGAGGTCAGCTAGTGACAAGGATGCTGCTGAAAATCATCTTTGTTTCAGGGAAACAAGTGGTTTTATTCCAGTGGCAAAGGGTCTGAGCCCACAGAAACATTTACAATACAGGAGAATTTAGCACCTGAATCCAAAGTGTTTTAATATGGACTATGAGGGGATCTAGCCCTTGTGGGGTTTATTTTGGGCTTTTCAAACAGGTCAGATCTTAAGCTGAAATGATGGCACTGTTTTATGGGAAGCAAGAGCAGCCAACATGTCGTTCCTGTCATGACCAAAGAGCAGGTTCTGCACACCCAGCCCTTGCTCTGGTACCCAAGGAAGGACAACAGGGCTGAGTGATCCCAAATCCACTGCCACCTGTTTCTTTTCCTGGCATATTCAGCTCTTCTCCAGCAAGGCTGTTGGGCTGGGAGCTTAATGAGGAAAGCATGTGGTTCCCAGCAATGGCTCTGGCAGGAATCCACTGCACAGCTCGGTCTGATTTGATGAACAACCTCCCCGAGAAGGGATGAGGGAACAGGAAGGGAAACAGAGCAGCCAAGCACCAGGGTTACCCGGGGTCAGCGAGGGGGAGCCGTCAGGAGGAGCTTTCACATTGTATTTCATCAGACAGGCAGAGATCAAAGGTGTCTTGTGCTGCTCCCTCTTTCCTGCTCCTCATCCCGAGTTCTGCAGGCAGCTCCACAGTGAAGCAACCGCTGCTTGGAATGCTGTCCACCTTCACCCAAACACTGAGCTGGGTGTGCCAGCAGGAGTGAGCACAGGGGACCTGATCCATCCTACAAAACCAGCCCAATCAGTCCCATTCCTTGGAACAGAGGCTGTGAATGAAACGTTTCCCAGGAGCACACCCTCTGGGTGCCAGTGTTAAACAAGGAATGAATGGTCACTTGGCTTATCTGATGGAAAGAAGACTTCAGTTTGGAAGTCTCCCTGGTCACAACCACCTCTGATAAAAGGGAATGCACAGAAAAACTCCTGAACTGCGTTTGATACCCTTTGGAATCGCTCTGGCTTCCCTGGGGTTCTGGGGAGAGCAGCATTGTGTTTCCATGGTCTAGTTATTCCTTGAGTCTGTGTTTTAATATAGATATGTCCCCAAGCAAACCTTTTACTCTGATCCTTTTCCATCGAGTAGGAAAAAAAAAAATAGCTGAAAGGATCATAAATAATGAGCCTTTGATTTACTGCTCTCATAGCTCAGGGCTATTAACTGAAAATATGCACCTTATGGACATCTAACACTGCCTGGCTCTCCTGCAACATGCACCAGTCACTACACAGAGGAGATTTATTTTCCAACTTTCTGCAGTCCTGCTGGAGAGAGCAAACTCACCAGTGTTGGCTTCATAGTCCCCAATAAATCTCTTCGTGAGAAAACGCACGACCAGGGCTGGAAAACAATGACAAAAACATGGCCCTTAATGGGAACCAAAACCAGTCTGTGCACAACACGTGGGGCATCTTACTGGGAGCACCAGCCTCGTGTGAAACCCAGGCAACCTCTGGGCTGCTCACATTTTACTCTGCAAATGCTTCTCTGGGCACTCACAGGGGAGGGGCTGGGGCCAGGCTGTGGTACCTGAGCCAGAGCTTTTCCCAGCTTGTGTTGGAAGGGAGCCCTTGGCTCGTGTGGCTGCTCAGGGTGGGACACAGAGGGTGGTTCCTTGTGACTGGAGGTAAAACAGCCTGTGCTTTGCTCTGAAATAATGCAGAAAAGCACTAACAAGCCAGCAGACTGCAAGCAGTCCAAGCACCACCCTTGTCTCCTGTGTCACAGGAGAGGGGAGGTTGATGGATGGGGTGGTTCTTCCTGGGCTTAAAAACCCTCCTGAAACCCAGCAGCGAGATCTGCTCGCACCCGGCAAACAAGCTGCACGTGCTCTGCACACTTGTGTCTCCTGCAGCACCCTGGGCCTCCTTATTCCCTTAACCTGTGCTGCCTCTACATTGGAACACTTTCCTTTTTCTTGATGCTTTAGGACACTTAAAATCCCATCGTGGCAACAGTAACTTATATTGCTGTAGTGGATTCCTAGGAACTTGCAAGCCACTTAATTACTGGCTAAATAAAATTATTTCTTCTGCAGACAACTCTTATCACAGATTTCATTTAAAACAATATTTTTTTTTTTCTCACAGTGGTCACACTTTAGCCACCTTAGATTAAATTGCCTGTGCAATGATCTTCAACAAACTACTTAAAAATAACAGGGAAATGTGGCTGCTTCAAAGCCAAACCAATGAAGTATTTTACTGCATCCTGTGGAACCTCAGATGGAATCAATCAGATCTGGTCTTAATAACTTCTGACATCATGAACCGTATATTCAAAAGTAAAAATGCTTGTTTTAACGTGCTCATTCTACCCTCTTTCCTTTCCCTCTCCTTTTGGAAAATAATCCAGGAAGACACCTCTCCTACACTGCCGTTTGTCTGCAGAGCATAAAACATTTACAGCAGGGGGTAAGAGCCACTGGTCCCATTTTGGGGGGTTGGAAATTTAGACACGGTTCAATAATTGACACAAGCCCAGGTAGAGTCACCTGCGAGTCCCAAACTCCCAGCTCTGCGCCCTCCCCTCTCAACACGCCCCGACAGCAAATCTGCCTCGCCTTTAAAAGAAATAACAACTGCAGATGTTCAGGCTGCCCCAAGTGCCGGGGCTGGGTGTGCCCGGGGCGGGCAGAGCCCCGGCAGGGAGCGGGGTCACACCTGAGCCCTTACCTGTCTTGCCGACGCTGCTGCCCCCAGCACCACCAGCTTGATGATCTTGTTGGGCACGAGGTCCCCCACGGGGTACTCCGGGATGGGCAGCAGCAGGAAGTTAGTGGAGTACTGGGACATGGTATCCTGAGGGATGAGCCGCATGCCAGGAGTGAGCGCCGCTCCGCCCGGCCCGGGCGAGGGAAGGAGCAGAGCGGCCCCTCGGAGCCTCTTGCTGGCCCTGTGTGCTCGGGGAGAGGAGCCCTCTCATCTCCTCGGAGCAGCTTTCCCCAGGAACGCCAGAGCGCCCGGCCTCCTCTTCCCGACGGCTCCGCTCACACAGCGACTTTGGAAAGCAAAAGGGAACTTTTTGATCGGCCCCCGTGAAAACTGACTCCTCCAGCCCGCAGCCAATCACGAGGGGAAGCGGGACATTCCTGGAGCCGGGCACAGGGAGCCTGAGCCTCCATCCCCGGCTCTCCCCGCGCTGCCTCCCTCCCCACGGCCCGTGTGATGTGCTGCCTGTCCCCGGGCTCTCTGCTACCCCGACATTCCCGTGTTTCCCGGCCATCTCTGTGTGTAATTCCCCTCTCAATACCGCGGTTCTGCCTGTCCAGTTCCTTTGCGTTTTCAGTGGGCTCCAGCCCCGCTCTGTTGTTCTCCCTATTGTCCCGTTGTGTCTTGCACTGGGCCCCTTTGGAGCGCTGATGGGACACTCCTCTTCAGGAAAACAAACACGTTTTCCCCCCACACCCCCCGGGTTTTCAGGCAGTTGTGGGTTATTCCCAAATCCCGGCTGACGTGTGTGTCCTCCAGGATGCATTTGATCAGCTGGTTTACACGTGTTGTTGGTCCTAATGGCCCTCTGGAACGTGGGTCAGCATTGGGTTGGGACACTGCAGCTTCTCCAAACATGGAAAAGGGAGTTCAGGGCTGGTGACAGCCTTGGGAAGCTGAGGAAGGCCTCGGTATCCTGTGGGGTGAGCCAGACAGAGGGAGTGAAGAAAGAATGACCTGTACAGGAAAAGTGAGCATAGTTTTGGGACAGCTGGGGCTGTGAGGGATGTGGGGATGAGAGCCTGTAACTGTACACCAGTTACAATCAGCTCTCATCTCCCAGGGATAATGGGCAGGGAAGAGAAAGGGAAGAACACTGGGGAGGGAATGACCCAGATAAAGCAAAACTGCAAATAATACAAACCAGATGGAAATTCAACAACAGAAAATGTAGTTGGAGCGTTTAATCTTTGAAAGACTTCTCTGAAGGGGACTGAACGGGTAGGAGAGGCAGAGCTGCAGAGACTGCTGAGACATGGCCTGTCCTGCTGTGTGGGACACGTGGATATGAGCAGAGATAATCCACCCACAGCCCCTGGAGGTCTGGAGGGGCAGGTGTTCCCCGTGCTCTGCACACTCCTGGCAGGCAGCACTAGGCTGGGCTCACTGTGGAGAGGCTGGAGACACCAAACAGCCTCTCTGTGCCCAGCTGCTCCCACACACTGCCCTCATCCTCAGCACACACCTGAGCCCTCCCCAGCAGGGCCTGGAGGGCAGGGAGGTTGTGAGATACAACAGGAGGATGGGAAATCTTCCCAGAGCTCTGGGGACTGTCATGACCTCAGTTTCCACACCAACACCAAGAGGATGTGAACTGCCCTCTGAAAAACCCAGCTGCGGGACACAGCAGTCCAGTGAAATCAGCACAAGAATCTGAAGATTTATGGGCATGCCACTTTTCTAAGGTTCTGTTTCCCCTCTGAAAACCACTTGTGCAGCACTATTTGTGCAAGCACGGGCTGTTGTTGCTGTGACCATCACGACAGTCAGCTGAGGAAGAGGTGGGAAAAACGTCTGGAGGCCCACGCAGCTCGTGGTCCTGGGAGGGAGCCTCCAGACCCTGTGCCTTTGAGGACACGGCTCCTGTGGGGATGGTTTTCAGATTTTCCAGGGCAAATTCACTTCCAGAGACTTAAAACACTAAAGCATTAAAAAAAAAAAAAACCTTTTCCAGGAAATTTCATTCCCAGGCTGCTTTAATCTCACACAAGTTTTGTAAGAATGGGCGAAACGAGAGGAGAAACAGGAAAAAAAGCTCAAAATCTTGTGGTCAATTAACAGGGCCCTTTGAAATGTGTTCTGGAGCTGGACATGTGATGAACTGGGGATTAGCAGCGGTATGTCACAGTCTGCCTCTCCAAGGGAAGGATGCTGGAACCTTTGTTACACTCTGCTATTAAAAGCATATGTGAGTGAGTAACATAAAAGGATTCATCACAACAATCCTCCTACAAATCTAAGCAGCAATGCATCTGTCAGCTTCTAGGTGGCCACAGGAGTTTCAGCCCAGGAAGGAAAGCCAGAAAAAGAGTATTCCATATGTGCAAAGACATTCCTGGAAGAAAACACCTCTGCTGGTTGCTCCAACTGCAGCAATTCACGTCCTGCTGGGCAAGCCAAGACTGTGCCAGTGCTGAGGAGCTCCAGAAAGACCCCCCTGGAGAGAGTCAGTCAGTCACACAGAGCCTGAGCTTCGGTGTAGATCAGTGTAAGGCAGAAAAAGAACTCAAACTGTGCTTAAACAACGCTGAACTTGGATGTGGGACACGAAAACGAGGAGTCACGGTCAGGGGAGCGCAGCCCCTGCGTGAGGGGGCTGGGAGAGCTGTTTGCAGCGAGCTGAGGGATGGATGCTGCGCTGGCACGGGAGAGGAGAGGTGTGGGGGCAGCAGGGAGAGAGCAGCGGTGCGGGAAATGTTGGACTGCCGCTCTTGGCAGCTGGGAGGGCTCCTGGCTGCCTCAAACCAGTGTGAGGGCAGTGGCAGGCTGAGCGCTGGGAGCAGAGCCGCTGATTCGCAGTTCCTCTGCAACGCGGCTCAATCGGAATTCTCGGGCACCAGCCCAGGCTTCTCGTGCTTCTCCCCGAAGCTTCTTCCACTGGGGGCACAGATCTCTGTCCAGAGAGAAGGGCTTTTCTCCTCTCTGAGGAGAAATCAAAAAGCAGCATATCCTCCAAAAGTTTTATATCTCTTCTCAAGCCCCTCGTAACTTTGAGCTTCTAATTGTGAAAGAATTCAATTAAGATATGGGATCAAACCCCGAGGTTTTCAGGCCTGATCCTCATCTGATTTTCTTGATTGTCAGAACAACCTTTTCACTGAGTGAAGCCACGCAGAAGGATTCACACTCTCTGAGATTGTGTAACCGTTGGCATGTAAAATAACAATTGTTTTTAGAGGAGATTTTCATTATTTGTGCACAATAGACTTATATTTAGCTAAGAAACCCATGTTTTAAATCCAAATTCTCTTGGAAAAACAATAGCTTAAATTAGAGGGAGAATGTTTGCAAAACTGAGAGTGACTTTGGAAACATTTGGAGATTTCACAAACCACTCCCTGGGCTGCTCATGCGAAGATCTGTGCCTTTGCATGTTGTGCAGAAATTATGTTATTTCCACACCAAATTTCTTACAGATTTATTTATTGGTCTGTGTTGCTTTTGGCTCTGCTTTTATTAGATTTTTCTATTTATATTGTCGTTGGCCCTCCTACACATCTTCAGAGATGGAGCTTTCCAAAAATAAAAATATTTGCCATTGCCACAGTGCTTGTCACAGGCAGGTTTTTGTTAGGACTGGTTGTAACCCTTCCTCACGCACTGTACAGAAGGAGTGAGGGATGAGCAGAGCCAGAGCCACCTTGCAAAGATCCCAGAACACTGGGAAAAGCTTTCCCCTCCTTCTTAGCACTGCCGAAAATGAGCTTTCCTCCAAAAATCCATTTGTGATGGTTACCTTTGCCTCTGACTCACCTTTTGTGCAGTGTGTTGATGTTAGTGGGGCTTGGAGGAGGAAACAGGGGTTGTTTTGGGGCAGAAACAGTAAATGTGGCCTGGGGAAAGGCCACTTGCTTTGGCAGATGCTGAGATGTGTCCACATCCCCTGCTCCTGAATTTAATCCACCCCCCAGCTCACTGATCCTTGCAGCTCTGCCTGACCCTCTGGGTTGCAAACTTGGGGCCCAAAGGTCAGTTCTCCCCCTGCACTTCCCAAAAGCTCTGTTGTAAGCACCTCTTTGTGCTCCCTATGACCAAATACCCTCAAAGCTGGGGAAGGCAAAAGAGGAGGAGGTAAGAAAGGAGCAGAAAGGGATGTGATGTGCTCGAGGAACCAGACTTGGTGTGCCTGGCATTTCACCTTACACAGAGCCTGCCTGTGTGCAAAATGAATTCAAAACGTGTCTGTGTGCTCCAGCAGGAACCCCAGGAGATGTTCCTTGGGGACAAGGCCACCCTTTTGGCCCCACAATAATACCCAGCTCCAGGTTGTTCTGATCCCGAGGCCAAGGGGGCAGGAAACGTCCTCAGATGCTGCTGCTCCAGCCGTGATAAATCACGTTTGATTCTATGTGGGGATCTGAGAGAGATGGTCATTTAAATGTACAGTTCAGCGTGGTTAAACCCTGCTCAGATCCCACTATTCCTGTGTTTCCTGTCCCTGATTTTGGTGCCTTGCTGTTGATGGCAACCCTGTAAGGAGCACATGTCCTGTTTCACTTTTAGGACCCTCTGTAAGGAGCGGGGTTTTTTTAGGTTGCTGAACACCCTCCCTGGGGAGCCCGGGGGGGATGACGTGGAGAGCACGATGTGCAGAGGAGAACAGCGCTGCAGGCACAGACTCAAATAGAATGGAAACATCCTGGCCTCATAAAAACTCTGTGCTTTGGAAATGGAACCATCCTGCCTTCCCCACGGATATTCCCACAGGGTCAGGGCTGGGCTGTGGAAACGGCCCTGGCACTGCTGGCAGTGTGGGCAGGGAGCTCCAGCCACATCTGGACAGCCCCGTGGTTTGAGGAGGAATGTGGAATAGGAGCCAGGTCCTTCCAGGTTGGGCACAGCCTGGAGATGTGCCCCAGCCAGAGGACAAATATCCCTCCCCATCCCTGGCTTCACGAGGGACGAGCCCCTGAGGACCATTTGCTCTCAGTGGGTGCTGAGGGAAGAGCTGTATGGGGGCTCAGGAACGTTTTCCACTGCTTTCCCCCTGGGGTTACAATGGGCACTGTTGTCACTCCCAGCTCTGTGCTCTGAAAGCCTCTCTGTGACTGTGCTGGAGCAGGACACGTGGTGTGGGGCAGCACAGCGTCCCTGGGGCAGCCCCTCCGCCCCACTCCTGCCTCAGCAGTGGCAGTTCCCTCGTGCCCCAGGCTGGCCGTGGTTCCCTCCTGGCCGTGGGGCTGGTGACACTCCCCAGCTCCCCGGTTTCATCCCCCACGGGGAGGGTGCTCCCCCAGTTCCACCAGTGTCCCGTGCACTGTCCATCCCATTGGGGCCTCCACCCTGGGCCAGAGCAACGTCCCACTGGAGCCTCCAGGCCCCTGCCTGAGCCCAGGGAATCTGGGAATCACGGAATACCCTGGGTTGGAAGGGACCCACGTAGACTGTGGAATCACAGGATCACAGAATGTTACAGATTGGAAAGGACCTTAAATCCCATCTCGTTCCACCCCCTGCCATGGGCAGGGACACCTTCCACTATCCCAGGTTGCTCCAAGTCCCATCCAACCTGGCCTGGGACACTTCCAGGGATCCAGGGGCAGCCACAGCTTCTCTGGGTAACCTGTGCCAGGGCCTGCCCACCCTCACAGCCAGGAATTCCTCCCTAATATCTAAACTCAATTTCCCTTCTTTCAGCTGAATCTGTCCCCCTTGTCCTGTCACAGTTCCTGAGGAACAGTCCCTCTCCAGCTTCCCTGCAGCCCCTTCAGATCCTGGAAGGGGCTCTGAGGTCTCCACACAAGGATCATCCAGTCCAGCCCCTGGCCCTGCACAGACACCCCAACAATCCCCCATCCCTGAGAGTGTCCTGGAGCTCTGGCAGCCTCAGGGCCGTGAACTGCCCTGGGCAGCCTGTTCAGAGCCCACGGGAGCAGCTCCCACCCCACACCATCCCTGCAGTGCCCCCAGGGAACCCACCTGGGCACAGCCCCTGCAGAGCCCCGGAGCGAGGGCTCCTCAGAGATGGTGCAGGGCCTGGGCTTGAACCGTGTGAGGGCACTGAGGGCACTCCGTGTGTTCAGACTGAGGGGAGACCTCCCTGCAGTTCCAGCTGCCTGGGCAGGGGCAGAGGAGGGGCAGGACTGAGCTCTGCTCTGTGTGACAGGGACAGCCCCCAGGGAATGGCTGGAGCTGTGTCAGGGCAGGCTCAGGGTGGATCTCAGGGAAAGGTTCTTCCCCCAGAGGGTGGTGGGCACTGAACAGGCTCCCCAAGGCTGCCAGAGCTCCAGGAGGGTTTGGATGACCCTCTGGGGCACAGGAGGTGACTCCATGATCCCTGTCGGTCCCTTCCAGCCCGGGCCATTCCGGGATTCTGGAATGCCGGGCCGGTCCGGGCGGTGGGACCGTGCGGGCAGCGGAACGGTTCTGCGGGGCTGGGCGGGCGTCCCTCCCGGCCGGCGCGCTGAGCGGGTGGCGCAGCTGGCGCTGTCAGTCGCGGCCCAAGATGGCGGCGGCCGGGCGCGGATGGAGGCGCTGGTGACCGTGCGGAGACTCGCCGCCGTCTGTACCATGGTGAGCGCCCGCACGGCCCCGCCGCCGCCCCGGACAGCCCCCGGGGACCGCCCGGCCCGCCCGCCGTGCGCGGCCGCTGGGCCGTCAGCGAAAGCGGCTGAAAGGCAGTGTTAGGGGAGGCCCCGCCGGCCCCGCGGGCTGAGGGGGGTGAGGGGTTTGAGGGAGGTGTGTGGGGTCTGGGAGGTGTGACGGGGTGTGAGGGGGATGAGAGCGGTGAGGGCGGCGTGAGGAGTGTGTATGGGGTCTGAGGGGGGTATATGGGGCCTGGGGGCTGTGTGAGGGGGTGTATGGGGTCTGAAGGGGTATATGGGGCCTGGGGGCTGTGTGAGGGGTGTGTGGGGTCTGGGGGTGTATGGGGTCTGAGGGGTGTATATAGGGTCTGGGGGCTGTGTGAGGGGGTGTGTGGGGTCTGGGGGGTGTGTGGGATCTGAGGGGTGTATAGGGTCTGGGGGCTGTGTGAGGGGGGTGTGGGGGCTGTGAGGGGGGTAAATGGGGTCTGGGGGCTGTGTGAGGGGTCCCGGGGGCCGCAGCGGGGCGGCTGTGCCCGGGAAGGGTCGGGCTGAGCCGCTCTGGGTTCTCGGGGGTTTGGAATAATCGGCCCCGAATCCCGGTGGGAAAGGCGCGGCGGGGATCGGGAGTCGTCCCTCCCGGGGGGAGTGTGAGCGGTCCCACAGAGGGTTCGGGGCAGGTGGAGCTTCCCTGGGGAGGGAGGAGGAATTGCGGAGCGCTGGCTGCCCCGGTGGCTCGGTATGAGGCTGCCCCGGGTTAAAGGTGGTTTTGCGGGGCGGTGCGGGCTCTGCGGGCACTCCAGCGGGCCGGGCAGGGTTATCCCCCATGCCGGGGCAGCGGCACCGTGGGCTGTGCGGAATCCCCGAGCCAGGCCGTGCTGTGTGAGCAGAGCAGCAGTGCCGGGTCTGGCACGGCTGAGTCACTGAAATGGTGTCCCTAAAGGTGTCCCGGAGATCCTGCCCCTGGGACGGGCTGGGGCTGAATCCCTGGAATCCAGCAGGGGATCAGCTGGGGGGGGGGGTGAGGTTTAATAGGATTTTCATAATCCCACGTTGTAAGTGCTCCAAGTGCAGGTTTAGATCTCCTTTGGGTCAGCAGCAAACTGCAGTCCTGGGAGGGAATGCTGCACTCCAGCTCACTGATTCCATCCCTGTGAAGGGGTGTCCTCCTGATCCTCTCCCACTGATTCCCGGTTTAACTGCAGACGAAGCTGAACTCAGCCCCAGGACAAAATGGGTGTTTGCAGTTTCCTGGTAACACTCTGACCAAGAGAGGTGAATCCTTCCTTCTCACAGTTCTGGCAGTGGATACCTGACTGGAAGTTTTTGGGACAGGACTTCCCAGAACTTCCCTGATCTCACTGGATGGGTTTTTGGATGTAATTTGTGTTTTTAGCTGCCCATCACAGACACAAGTGGGGCTGAGGCCACCAGGGGTGCCTGAACCGTGACTGTGCTGGGCAGTTCTGCACCCCAGAGTGATTGACTCAATCCATGGGATATTTGGGATGCATTCCTGGGATCAGCTGACCGGGCCTCAGATTAAGAGGGCACATGTGAGGCAGTGCCTTTCCTGGGGTTGTGCAGCCAAACCTGAGCACATGCCAGGGGGATTTGTTTCCAGAGGCTCTGGCTACACACAGCCAGCTCTGGAGTCCTTTTTGCTGCTGTGCTTGCCCTGATTTTGGTTGGGATGAGGGATGGAAGCTGAGCAGGTGCTTCTACCCCCCAGGGTCCTGCTGGAATGCCCTGGGGAGGTTTTTCCAGGAAACTTTCCACTGTGGCAGCTTTGGGGAGGCAGGTTCTCCTCACTTTATTTGGAGTGGAGAAGTCACTGTTTCTGTGCAGAAAATGCTGGGCAGTGCTGCCAGCACTAAATAGGTGTATGAAACTGGCTTTCACATTTCTTTTTAATCAGAGGCTGTGGAATTTTCAGCACCAGTTTTAGGTGGATGTGTAGCTTGGCTAAACTCACTGTCAGTATTACCGTTTTTTATTCAACTGGCCCAGGAAAATGAAGGTCTGGGTGCTGTATTTGAAACCTGGATCAGTTTATTTGCATCTATTTCAGTTAATGGCAGTAAGTAAAGATACCATTTTCTTTGCCATGAAGTGAATATGGAAAACCTGAGCCTTCTTCATGAAAGCATTTAAATCCGTGGACAAAGTCCCTTTGGGAAGCTGCTTTCTTCTACAACAGCTCTCTCCAGATTAAATCAGTGCCTGAGCTCATCAGCAGACGCTCTGAGGTTTAGCTTTAATCATATCCCCCCTTCAAGAACCCTCAGGTTCAGTGGGATCAGCTCCCCGTGCCTCAGGATTGTTGCTTTTCCTTTGCAGTGATTTCACAACGTCCCTGTGGCAACCCCAGCCCTGCCAAGATGGGCAGCTGGGAGGGAACCCTTGCCCATGTGGCCGTGATTCACTGCTGGGGAGGCTGGGACACCACGTGGAAAACACATCCAGCAGGAGCCACCAGCAGGGCTGTGCCTCCTCTCTGCCCCTTCCCTCCCTTTGGGTCCCACCCTGATCCTCCCCAGGGGCTCTGGAGTTCTGGTGTAAGGATCAAGGGGGAGAGGGAAACGCTGCTGAGGGAGGGAAGATGCACAGTGCTTGTTCCAGAACTGTTCCCAGGTGCTGTCTGTGCAGGGCTGTGGTGTCCCGTGCTCGTGGGCAGGTGGGAATCCTCTCCTGGCTGAGGAGAGAGAGCCAGGAGGGCTGAATTCCCATGGCCTGACTGCACCACCTAACCCAGAGTGTGTGTTCTGTGCTCTGAGGTGGTGGGAGAAAGGAGTTTTTTAGTCAGAACTTGGGGTTGGTTGTTGCATTGACAAAACTTCTGGTTTTTTTGTTGGAAAAGCAAACCAGAACACGAGGATAGGGACAGAGATCTGGCCTTGTCCTGTCAGCCAGCTTGGGAAAGGTCAGCAGTGAGCTGGTACAGAAATATTGTTTCTCGGGAGGCAATTAGAGCCACTTCCCCTGGGTTGGTGGCTAATTGTTTGTTAAACCAGTAGGACGTGCCTGAGGAGCTCCAAGCCAGGGTACAAATTGGTGGAGTCTGACACCTCCCCTGCATCACAGCTCAGTGCTGGGGAGGAGCTGCATCCCTTGGGAGTGATCCATCTCCATGGCCACCTGGGTGGTGGACACTGCTCAGTCCAGGAGGGTGTCAGTGCTGGGTAATGTCCCCTCACTTCACCCTGGCAGCAGAACTTTGGCTGGGCTTTATCAGCCAATCAGCATTTCCAGCATTTCTGTGGCTCCTGGGGGAGGGGGAGGCAGGCAGGATGAAGGCAGAGCTGGCTCAGCACGGTTCTGTCTCCAGCACTGCTCTTGGGTCACTTGGGAAGCTGAAGGAAACAAAATTCATCTTCGCACTTGAAACCCAGCTTGGGAACGGCCTGCTTTGTTTTAGGGGGAAGAACACATGGGAGCCTCTGGGAAGCAGTCAGTAGGTCAGGCAGGCAAGGCTTTCCCACTCTGTCTGTACTTTGGTTCAGTACTGGGTGTGAGGGCTGTTTATTGCTGCTTCCTCTGGATTTTGGACTTGCAGCTGCTACAGGATAACAGTGGAGTGGGAATACTGGGGAAAGACACTCCAGGGACAGAGTGGGGGCTGTTCAGGAGGTGTTTGTGTTACTGAATCTTTCTTGTTTCATTCTTTAATCAGGATTTAGACAAGCAAATGCTTTTAATCCGTTGAATTAACACATGTTTATGTGCACATCACCTAGTATCTTGTTCCTGTAAAAAATTAAGTAGCTTTCAGTGCTTTCTCCAGCAGGTTTGGGAGATTCCTGGACTTGTTGCCGAAATAAAGGGCAGCACTGCAGGTGCTGGTGTTTGTGTCTGTGGTGTATTTTGTGTTTCCAGCTCCTTTCCTAGTGAAAGTGGGCTTGTAACACAGATGGGGACAAAGTTTGTTAGGATAGGACAAGGGGAATGGCTTTAAACCAAAAGAGGGTTGATTTAGACTAGATTTAAGGAAGGAATTCTGGGCTCTGAGGGTGGGGAGGTGCTGAAATGCATTTCCCAGAGAAGCTGTGGCTGCCCCAGCCCTGGAAGTGTCCAGGGCCAGATTGGAGCAACCTGGGCTAGTAGGAGGTGTCCCTGCCCGTGGCAGGGCTGGGACTGGATGGGCTTTAAGGTGCCTTCCAACCCAAACCACCCTGGGATGTCTCCACTTACCCTCTCCTAATTGTGAACCCTCAGCTCCACCGATGGCCCTGGGTGTGAACTCTGCTCTCTGCACAACCTGTGGAATGGTTGGAGTTACAGCCTGCTCAGAAATCCAGGGTGTTTGGCCTTGCCTTCCCTCAGCATCCACTCTCCCACTGTTCCTCCACGGTTTGGTGTGAGAGGGTCAGGATAAAATCTTGCCAGCTCCCAGAAGAACAGTTCTGGAAATCACTGGGCTTTGGACAGCTGGGGATCTCTGTGGGTTTGTTCTTTTAGGGGCCTGAAAAGCTGCAAAACATCTGAGGGCTGCAATAGCAGGACACCCACTGTGTGTGTCACTGGGGCAGTGAGAGGAGCTCAAGGTCAGGAGGGATCTGGCAGGACTGCTCTCAGGTGGATGGGCTCCTGGGAATTCTGGGATGCAGTGCCCAAGGAGGGGGAATGGGCTGCTTACAGCACCACAGTGTGGACTAAGCAGCAGTTCCTGTTCTTCCTCCCTTTCCTCCAACATCCTTTCCACTGGAGCCCAGCTGGACTGTCTCATTTAGGAGCATGGAATGAGAGGATTCCCAAGTGCCTGTGAGTGGCTGTGCCTTTGGGAGCTGTGGATCCTGTGGACCTTGCAGGACCAGCACCTCCTGGAATAAACATGTGCGTGGAGCAGGTTCCAAAGCACCCTGCACTCATTTGTTTAAAACCACTCCAACTGAGGCTGCAGAGCAGTGAACTGATTGGGAAATACAGCACTTTCCAGTTTCCCTGTGGTCTGCATGCCACTGCAGCTGCCACAGTGTGCTCTGTGAGCTTCCTGCCTGTGGACAATGGGAAGTTCCCCGTGGCTGTGCAGGTCAGGAAGGTTCAGTGGCACTGGGAATCGTGGAGTTTTGGCAAGTCTGACATTGGTACTGCCCTGAAGGGTTTGCAGGATCTGCCTTGTCCTTCTTTGGTTGGTTTATTCACTCTCTCAGCCGCTCCTCAGGCAGGCAGTGTGTGTAACCAGCCCCTCTGATCTCGGTGTCCCTGCAGCCTTTCTGCACATCCTGGAAGCTGCTGCCCAGCTTTCCTAAATGCTGAGTCTGATCCTGCTCTCAGCTGTTAAAAGAGTCAAATGACTAATTAGAGACCTCAGCAAGACTTGTGTAAGCTGAAATATCTTAGATATTTTTCCCTTTTTTTGCCTTTCTTGAAAGGAAATGCCTTTTGCAGGCAGGTGCTCAGTGGGAAGAAGCTGTTCCAGCCCAGAAGCTGAGTTAGGGTGGTTCAGAGTCCAAGCTAATAATCCTAAGGGATTTTTATTTCAACACCAGTGATGCTTCACAGGTACTGAGTGTGCCTCCAGCCCCAATCTGAGCTTACAGATACCCAGAATTTTTGGGAGATACATCCAGATTTTAAGAGTTCTCTTCTGCAAGTCTCCCACTGTCTACAAATGAACTATAAATGGAGCATCTAAAATGCTGGAGTGCCCCAAAATAAGCGCAGCAAACTCTCGTTTTGACTCCCTGTAGATTTTATCAGGGCCATTATTATTGGGAAAAGATCAGACTGTAACTCTGTAGCTGTATTTTTTGAAGAGGTGAGAGGGGCTTCCTTTTCTTATATTTAAGCAACTGCTTCACCCTGTTAGCATTTAAAAAGCTCTGGTGGTTTGACAAGTGCTGTTTAGATGCTGCTGAATTTCCATGTCCTTCAATGCAGCCAGAGGAACCTTCAGTATTTTGTCTCATTGCTTTGAGCTGCTTGTGAATGGTTATGGAAAGGTTACAAACCCACTGGCAACCTTCTGTGACGTGGATTCTCCTGCCTGATTTCCAACCCTCTCTATAATTAGATGTGCAGAGGACCAGGAGGTGCAGAAGTTTGTCCGTGGCACCCAGAAGAGATGCATTTCCCTTGACTCCCCAAATAATAACTGTAAATGTTGGTCCTGTGGACACCTGCCACTTTGCTGAGATTTTATTTCTAGATAGCAATGGGTCTTTTCTGTTTCTACAGTTGTGAAGTGTGGGTTGTTGCTTATGAGCAAATATTCCTGTGATCTGAGGCAGGTGGGAAAAACCCTTTTAGCTGGGGGGGAAAATGGGCATAAAACACCTCCCACTATTCCAGCCTGTTCCAACCAGGCCTTGGACACCTCCAGGGATGAGGCATCTACAACTTCAACTGTAATTAACACATTAATTAGCATTTAATTTATTAAGGAAACCTTAATTTTTTTATCTGCCCCTACAGTTGACTCACCCAGATTTATAAAGTTGGGGCAGCAAGTACAAGGAAACTCTTGGGAAACACCCTCCTGTCACCTGGTGGGTGTGATGGGTTGGGCCATGTTGGTGGCTTGGTGGAATTGCAGCATTGGTTTGTGGTGGGTTATTCTTTACAGCACAGGTTTATTGAAAATGGCAACTCTTCTGTGCACTCAGTGGAATTCTGGCTGTGATCTGCTCTTCCCCAAGGTTGGTGAGGAGCTGCAGGAGAATTCCAGAGCCCCATCTCATCCCCATATCCAGGGTTGGGTTGGGGTTTTGGGGGGTGGAATCAGTGGAGGGAAAAAGAGCTCCTTGGAAGGCAGGAGTGGATGGAGGGAAACAAATCAGAGGAGCTGCTCCAACTGGCACTGATGCCTCCAAAAACTGGGTGTAATTGCTGCATGTGCAGAGCTGTGCTTGTAAATCTGTCAGCACCTGGTGAGGGGGTTGGTGGGTTTTACAGTCTCAAATTTGAGCCTGTCTTGTTTTCTGGCTGGTTTGATGTGTGTAATTCACTGTAAAACTCCAATTTCCATTCCTCCTGTTCAACTGGATTACTTCTTGGTTTCTTTCCCGTCTCTCAGGAAATTTTAAGTTGTTTCTCAATCCAGATGGAAGTGTCTCTACAGCCTGCACTTGTCTGTGGTTTATGTTAATGGGGAGATGATTGAAATATTTGCTCAGCAATTAAAAGGCATTAGTAGCTTCAGGGAAATAGATGAATTGAGTTTTGCTGGACTGTAATTTTTTTGGTTCAGTGCTTTTCTGAGGTGTTTTAAGAAGGGTTTGTGTTTGCAGAAGGTTATAGCTGGGGTGACTTGGGTATTTAAAACAGAATTAGGAGTCCAAAGTGTTTGGATTCTGCATGGAATGGTGGTAACTCCATAAATAACAGCTCAGGGCTGCTGGAGGATCAGCAAGAATTAAAGAACAAGCTGGAGAGAATGAGGGAAGCGACCAAATCCCAAGTGGGAGCCTGGCATGATGTACTGGTGGATGGAAAATGGAGAGAGATGCATAAACCACTCTGACTGTAAAAAATTAAAATTCCAAATAGGATGTTGGTGAGCTTTAGTGGTGCTTTTCTGTGCCAAGTAAACCCACATGGATGTGCAGTGGGATTTTTCAGTTGCATCTGAAATGACAACTTCTATCCTCATTGTATTACAGGAAACTCAGAATGTGTCGAAATGCACTGTAAACTTAATTTACAGCCTGAAATGAAGCAAAAGCACACCACTTTTTAGGTGATCTGAGTTTGTGTCTGAATAATAAAATTCTTATTTCCCAATTTCTTTTGTGGTTCTGTAATTGTGCTTCTCTTGGCCAGAAATGAAGTGAGAAAGTGACAGTATTTCTGATCTCAAGTGCCAATGAAGGCAAGACTTTTTCAAGAATTCTTTTGCATGGGGTGCAAATAATAAAGAGCCCCATCAACCCCTTTGTGCAGTTCCCATCACACAGGTGTTTTTATCCCATAAAATAGCCCCTCTGGTTTCTGTCCTTTAGCTTTGGAAGTTCTCTGTGTTACAAATGTCTTTATTCTTGCAGTGCATTCTGGGCTAAACTGGAGTTGGTGTTTGTGGGTCACCCGATGCTTTCAGTGAGAACAACTTCTTGTGTTGATTTTCCAATAAATTCACGTGCAGAAAACCCTTTGTTACCTCAGGCAACCGATTCTGGCTTCGGAGTTGAGTTTTTAAATGAGACCTTGGTACCCTTATGACAATAAAGCATCATATTGATCTCATTTGGAGGAACACAGCAGAAATGGGGTGCTAATTCTCAAAGGGAGTAACTCTGTGTTTATAGCAGTGACTTGAATTCTGCTGGGGTTTTTTTTAAGGAAGTTTGATTTTTCTCTAACACAAACATCCTGGTTTTTTTTTGTAGGGCGCCAATGCCTCTGCTTTGGAGAAAGAGATTGGTCCTGAGCAGTTCCCTGTGAACGAGCATTATTTTGGCTTGGTCAATGTAAGTGCAATTCCTATGGTTGGAAAAGCTCTTTTTTAATTCATTCCTGATTTGGAATTTAACAGTGCAGAAGTACAGAATATTTGTTATATAAAGCCTTTGGGGGAATCCCTCCTGCTCTGGTACATTTCTGATGACAAGGCTTTCCTCTTTAGGTGGGAGGTGTGAACTGGTGAGGTGTGTCCATTGTTCACCCGGAGGGTTTGGTGTCCCTGCTGCTGCAGTGAGTGGCAGGTGTGAAATGGGAATCACATCCCTAGTGGAGCAGTGGGATCTCTCTGCTGCAGGAGCACATCCATTGGTTTGGGCAGTAATTCCTTGGGGGTGGTGATACTCCTTTTTTGTTTTCTCCCAGCCTGTGGACCTGTGAACCCCTCCAAAAAGCTGTGCCTCTGTCAGTTTGTGTGGATCTGCTGGGCAGCAGGACTTGTGTGCCCAAACTGGCTGTGGAGAGGATGGATGTTGATCCAGAGCAGCTCCTCCTGCTGGGCCTGGGACACCTTTTCCCAGGGAATAAAGGGAGTTAGCTGATAGAAACGGTGGTTCCGTGCATGTATTTATAATGGACAATCCCAGTTTGGCACAGCCCTCCAGAAACAGGGATATTTCTGTTTGCTGCAGGGCTGGGTGTGTTCTGTTGGAAGCTGAAAGATGCTCAGTCTCTTCACACCCCAAATAAGGTCAGTGTAGCTCCCAAGTATTAATTGCAGCTCATTAGAAACCCATTTAATTGGCTTGTGGGTGGGTTTGGAGCAGTCTGTGTTTGCAGGCACGCAGATATCCAAACACATGGAATTCAGTTCCTCAGGGATGCTGTGAATGGCCATTCCAGAGCTGCTGAGGTTTGCTCCAGGAGGAGAAGAATGGAAGGCACTCCCATTGTCACACAAATAGCTGAGTGTTGAATGGTGTGAGGAGGAAAAACAGCACCCTAAAAATACCCCCCATTATTGGAACCACGTCCATTCTGTGCTGGGAAGGACAGGACATGACTGATCCTGTGGAGCTGCCTGCCTTGCACCCGGCTTCTGTGGGGGGAGCACTGCCATGCCATTGTTCTGCTGAGCCTTTTCCTGAGCTATTTCCAGCTCTTTCTCGACTCTGAGCTAATTGGGGCATTTGAAAGAGTCTCGTGGCTTGAGCATCAGTGCCCTTGAACTGCAGACAGAGCCAGGTGTGGGACTCGGGGACAAGGGAGGCTTCACAGTTTGGTTTGAAGAGTTATTTTCCTTTTGGGTCGGTGAGCTGAACCAACCTGGCTGCAGTGAAACTGTGGCTAAAACCACTGCCAGGGATCTGGGAGAAGGGACAGCCTCTTGGAATCATTTCTATGTCATGCAGTGCAAAAGGAGGGGAACGATGTTGTCATTCCAGGATTTCATCTCTGTCTCATTTTAAGAACCCTCTATCTTAAAATAAGCTTTCAGACTTTATTTTTACAGTGCACAAGTTCTTGGGAAGTTGGGTAATACTGACTCTAAATACAGGCAGTTTAGAGCAACCCCCCCCCAGCTTTGACATCTGTTTACAGTATTTATTTGCACCAGAGAAACCATGACAAAAAGCTCTTAAAATCTTTGTGTTTGTTCCTTTTTTTTTTTTTCCCCATTTGTGTTTTAGGTAACATCAGACTTTACACACTGTTGGTGTGTGTGATCTGTGCATGTGCCCCCAGGCTTGGAAATATCCATCACCCCACTTGGAACTGCCTTTGAAAACCTGTTTTTTGGGGGCTCTGTTAAAGAGAAACTGTTAGAGCCCTTTTTTTTTCTTTTCTTTTTTTTTTTTTTTTTTTTTTTTTTTGTTCCAGGCAGAATTTCTAGCAAAGTTCAGGTCATGGTTGGGAAGATCTGATTGCTTTGGACTCCTAAACACAAACTAGCTGTGGTTTAAGTGTGACACTGCTGGCCATAGTGGTCATTTCTGGAGGACTCTCCCTAATAGAGAGAGGGGGAGATCAATAATTGAGATATTCAGAAGTTTCCCAAGGCCCTGAATTGCTCAGAATTCCAAGGATTTTGTTCCAACATGAAGAAAAGTCAGATTTCCTGGAATAAAATGCATCAGTTGGTCTTGTTGGAAAGTACTTGGCAAGTTGTAAAATATCTGAAAAGCTCAAGGAATAAAAGTTCTTCCACATTACTCCCTGTAAAGGTGGTAGGAGGAAGAAAATCCTCCTCAGAAGGACATTTTAAAGCCTAAATCATGCTGTGAAGTAAATTTTTCACCATCTCGCTTGCACTACTGTAAAACATCTCACTGGCAGGAATTTTCTAAGCTGTTTGGATGGAATTTTGGTTCTTGAACTCCTTTAACCCTCCCCTTTAGTTTGGTTCTAACCATTTCTCTCCTGTGTGGGCAGCCCCAAAGCAGGACATGTACAACCAGTTGAATTCCCACTTTTGGACATGATTTCTCCATGAATACAGCCCTGAAATCTTTCAGCTCCTTGCACTGTAAACTTCTCTGACTGAAGAGGCACCATCTTTTTGAAGATGCTCATTTCTGGTTCTGTGTCTTAATTTTCTGAGGTGATTATGGACAGATACAGCAGACACCTCACCTGAAAACAATAATATTTAACCAGACTTGTAGTAGTTTTGCCTGGCTTGGTAGTCTTGCCTATTTTGTGTTGTATGCAAATTTATTTAGCAGATGTAATTAGTGTGACACTTATTTGTTTTTCTGGGTCACTGACAGCCCTGTGAGCGAGGCTCTATCCTAATCCCCGTGTTTGCTCAGCTTGCATATTTATTTTCCTCGTGTCAATAAGTTTTAACTGTTGCTCCATGTGTTAATGTGACTGTAACCATAACCTGTAACTGCTTCAGTCAGCAGAGTGGTTATTGAGATGGCTCTGCTCAAAACAATCATTACAGGCAGGGGACACTTGTTTATTGTATTGGGAGTCCATAATACAGAGTATTGTTTATTTATTTCATTTTGGGTCCTGGCACACCCCCACAGCAGCAGCTCCCCTCTCAGGATAAGCAGTGCTGTGTCCCAGAGCTCTGGAGTTTGGGATGAGCCCTTGCACACTTTTTGTGTGTATTCCCAATATCCCTGGCACTGTTGTCTTCTCTTACCAGCTGATAGAAGGCTCAGTCTTCCTCACCATCCCAACCTGTATTTCCCCAGCAAATGAACTCTGACAAACAACTTTTCCAGCCTCACTCTGTGCCGTTCCTAATGAGCCACCTCTGTTATTCCTTTTTAACAGAGCCAATACAAAACCATTTATTTTCCATTTGCTCTGTTTTGACCAGTTTGGCAACACCTGCTGCTGCAGCTCAGTCTTGCAGGCTGCTCTCTGCATTTCCCTGCATCATGTGCTGCTCAAAACAATCCATTATAGGCGGGAAAGATTTATTTTATTATTACATTTATAATATAGTATATTATTTATTTATTTTATTTCATTTTGTGTCCTCCACAGCAGGATCAGTAGGATCTCCCACTCAGGATGAGCAGTGCTGTGTCTCCAGAACTTCGAATTTTGGGATGAGCCCTGAATGACTTTGGATGTGTAATCCCAGTATCCCTGTGACTGTTGTCTCCTCTTCCCTCCTGTGCTGTTACCAGGCTCAGTCTTTCACACCACTCACCTTGTATTTCCCCAGCAAATGAACTCTGGCAAACGACTTTTCCAGCCTCACTCTGTGCCATTCCATGATCCACCTCTGTCATTCCTTTTTAACAGACCTGCTACAAATCCATTCATTCTCCTGTGTTCTGTTTTGAGCAGTTTGGCAACACCTGCTACTGCAACTCCGTCCTGCAGGCGCTTTATTTCTGCCGCCCCTTTCGGGAGAAGGTGTTGGCCTACAAGGTGCAGCCTCGGAAGAAGGAGAGCCTGCTGACCTGCCTCTCTGACCTCTTCAACAGCATTGCCACCCAAAAGAAGAAGGTGGGGGTCATCCCACCCAAGAAATTCATTTCCCGGCTGAGGAAAGAAAATGGTAAATGAATAAATAAATGGGATTTTTTTTTAAGGTGTGTAAAATGTACCTTGCAGTCAGCACACCCCAGGCACTGCCCCAGCCTGGCCTGGGCTCAGCTGGAGGTGTGGGCTTGGCCCAGGCTGAGCTCTGAGCAGACTCAGCCCCTCAGGGCTGCTGGGTGAGGAAAAGTTCTGGATGCTGATTTATCATCTCTGCTTGAACTTGCAAAGATAACAAACTTACAGTGTGGGATTATTGCCCCTTGATGGTGGCCTGAATGAGCTGCTGGCCCAGGGCAGCACATCTGAATTTCTTCAGTTCTCTCCCTCCCTAAAGGGAAGGAGAAAACCTACAACCCACCCCCCAAACTCCAAGCTAATGATTTTCTCAGTTCTGAGAAATGTCCAAACTAGGTTTCCTTAATGCTGTTTTTCAGCTGTTTGTTTGTTGCAACCTGAGGATAAACCAAAAACCCTCTGTGAGAACAACCAAGTGCAGCTCTTGCAGAGCTTCTCAGTGTCCCCCCCTTTGTGTGCCAGGGGACAGCAGGGGCAGGGCATGCCCTGATTTGGCCTTGGCATTATGAAGTGGCTGTACCTTTTCATTCTCCTTGGTCTCTTCCTTTCCAGAATTATTTGACAACTACATGCAGCAGGATGCACATGAATTCCTGAACTACCTACTCAACACTATTGCTGACTTGCTCCAAGAGGAGAAGAAGCAGGAGAAGCAGAATGGGAAGCTGCAGAATGGCAGCATTGAGAGTGAGGAAGGAGACAAGGCTGACCTGACGTGGGTCCATGAAATCTTCCAAGGAACACTAACCAATGAAACCAGATGTCTTAACTGTGAGGCTGTACGTTCCACCCCAGACCTCTTAGAGCTTCCCAGCTTCTGGATCCTTTTCCCTAACACTGAGCACCCTTTTTCATTTATTAGGGTAGATGAAATTGCACTCTGTCTATTAAAATATGGAGCATAGCCTATGTTAGGAGTGTGTCACCTCTGTGTTCAATACTCCTGCAGGTATGTGGCTCAGCAAAGCCTAGTGTTTCCCCTGTTCTCCTCCCTGTTCCCAGCCAGGCAGCCTCCACCTGGCTCATCCAAGCTGCCTTTTTGTCTCCTTGTTCTTCCCTGTGTCAGTGGTTGATAGTTTTATGTTGTGTTTCTCCATGAGAGTTGCTCCCTCGTTATTTGACTCTGGGATGAGCTGAGTTGCTGTTGGAATTCTTGGTGCTGCTCTGTGGCCACTCTGAGAGCAAGAGGAGTACCATGAAATCTGGAATTAGAACCACACCACCTTCAGATCAGGAATTTGGAGTTAGTCATATGCTCTGATTTAATAGTTCTAAAAAAAAATGGAAAAACCCAGATGGGGAGAGAAAAAAAAAAAGGAGAAGTGATTACAACAAAAAGGCATTTTAAATCTAAAGTTATGGCTCTGTGGTGAAGAGAAGCTCTAAAAATGACATTAAGAGGGTTCTGTCTCAAGGATTTTGAAATGAAATGTGACTGTTCCACAAATGGGAAGATGGTTTTCCTCCCTGCTAACCCATTTAATTGAGGAGCCATCTGCCTGTGTCTGCCTTGCCTCTCAGTATTGACTGTTCCACTCTGATGTGCAGCAAAAAGCTGTCCCAGTCTGCAGAGCAGAGTGGAAGGTGGGGAAAGCTTCTCTGAGCAGTTAAAAACTTGGGTTTGCCAGTGAAATAATCAGATGTGTCTTGAGGCCTTAAAGGGGAGAGATGTTTTCTAGGAAAGGTTTTGGGCTTTGATTTTTTTTTGGTGCCTTTTTACCGTGGGTTTTGGGGTTTGGTTTGTTGTTGATTTGGTTTTTTTTTTTAATATTCCTCATAAGATTATTTCTGCAGTTCTAGTTTACCTCAGGAAAGGACCTCTGTGTGTGTGTGTGTACATTTATTTTCCATCACTGAGGACATTGCACCATCCCAGAGATGGTTAAAAGAAACCTGCCAGTTCTCAACTGCTGTCAAATGCCTCTTCTTCTGTTTTTTTGTTTGTTTTTTAAGGTTAGTAGCAAAGACGAGGACTTTCTGGATCTCTCGGTTGATGTGGAACAAAATACATCCATTACACACTGCCTGAGGTAAACGGGATTATTTGGGAAGGGGGAAACTCCTGCCCTTGGTCAGGAGGGAAGAGCCTGGTTTGGCTGCTCTCTGTGGTAAAATGTTGGGGGGTTTTAGTGGAGCACTAGTGGTGTGTGAGGTTGATTTTCACTTTGTTTTGTGGGCACTTGGATTTGCTGTATCGCCCAGCCAGGTTTTATCAAAGCTGAACACGCTGTGTTTGGTTTCATCATGAATTCTGGATTGTTTTAATGTTGTTACTGCCTTTCAGCTGCCTGCTCCTCGTGTTTGGTGGGGAAGGGGGTTTGTTTCTGCTGACAGACATTTGCTCCATGTGTTTGTCTGTTCCATCCAAGGCTTATCAGCTGCTTGGATACAGCACCCAGCATCTGCTATTTAATAGCTGATAATGGCTGTGGAACTGCTGGGAGCTGGAAGATAATCCAGACTCGGGCTGGTTAATGGCTGTAGATCTGAACAGTTCATCTGCCACCAGAGAACACATGGAGTGGCTGCTGATGGCCACAAAACTCGATCACCTCATTGCTGTTTCTTGCCTTCCCTGCTCAGAAAACAGGCAGTTCATACCCGGGGCTGGGGGTGATTTCCACATTTTTTCCAGCTGAACATTCCGGGACAAACACACCTAAAACGGGTTTGTGAGCCATGGGAATAAAAGGAGCTTCATCTTCCCTGTGTCATTTGGGTTTTTTCAGCGTTATCAGCAGTAACTTTTACCTGGGTGGCCTGGAATATCCCTGCTCATGCCACTCTCTCCTGTCCACAGGGGGTTTAGTAACACTGAGACTCTCTGCAGTGAGTACAAGTACTACTGTGAGCAGTGCCGCAGCAAGCAGGAGGCTCAGAAGAGGTGAGGAGGGGGCAAACACTCACCCTAAATGGAGATGTTCTTTTAAAATGGGCGGTTGGTGGAAAAATGCACCTTGTGAAGTCAAGAAAAGGACCAGGTCATGTTGTTTAGGTCTGTGTTTGGTGGGGAAGGGAGCGAGGAAAAGAGGAGAGACCAAGGAACTTTGTGGTGACCTTGTCAGAGGAATCAAGAGATTAATTTGTGTTTCTCCCAGAAGAGTTTATATCTGGTGCTTCCAGACACTCACATTTTCCCCAGTTGGGATTAATCATCTCAGAGCCCCTGCAGACCATCCCATCCTCTTTGTCTGTGAGTGCTGGATAGAAAAAAACCTCATTTCTCACCTCACACTCTTGTCACACCAGAGCAGCAAGACAGATTTATTGCATCTCCTTCTCCCCACTGATGTGATGAAAAACTGATATTTTGGGGAGGTCTCAGAAGGGTTTGGAGGTCTCCAGGGGATGGAGAGGGGGTGTTTGTTGCAGTTGTCCTGCATTCAGCTGCCAGTAGAGCAGTTAATAATTCAGAGTAAATATTATGGGACACGGTGAGGAAAGGCAGCGTGTTTGTTAAAAAGCCGAGCTCCCTTTTTTAGGGAGCCCAGGTCCCTGCTAACCCCCTGTGTGCTCTGTTGGCCACGCTGTGGTGCTACAGGATGAGGGTGAAGAAGCTGCCCATGATCCTGGCCCTGCACCTGAAGAGGTTCAAGTACATGGACCAGCTGCACCGCTACACCAAGCTGTCCTACCGCGTGGTGTTCCCGCTCGAGCTGCGCCTCTTCAACACCTCGGGCGACGCCACCAACCCCGACAGGATGTACGACCTGGTGGCCGTGGTGGTGCACTGTGGCAGGTGGGTTGGTGCTTCCTGCTCCCTGGAATGCCTGGCCTTGGAACTGCAAAGAGTCCATCCCCCACCCTGGATCGTCAGTGCCGCAGCAACAGGCGGAGCGGGGCCTGGAAATGGCTTTGCCGCTCCTTTTTTACTGGTTGAGATTTTCCTTCCCCAAGTCTCAGGTTTGGCACTTTGTCAGCTTTAAACGTGGTGGCAGTTCAGAGCAGGGTTATTGGTAAACAAATTATCCCAGAGTGGGGCTCTTGGTTGTTTCTTTGCTTTAGTTCAGTCTTTAAAAGCACAGAACCGACACAAAGCCCTGAGCCTGCTTTCCAGGAAAGCCAAAGGGGATCCAAACAAATCGTGGAAAAACACTCACTGAAAGAGAAGTGAGGTGCATTTCTCACTGAAGTTCCTTTAGAAGCTGGTGCCATCATGTGGAATAAACTGTGCACTGCTGAGCTTTTGAAACAACCTTGTTTCCTGCATCAGATTTGCATTGCAGTGGCTTTTCCTCTGGTTTTGAAAGCAAAGAGGAAAAAATTTGTCAGCACTTTAGGGAAAAGAGCACTTCTGGAAAGCAGAAGGATTGTTTGTAACTGCCTTCTGGAAGGGTGAGTTTTTAAGTAATGTTGGAGTACACAGATGTCTTTGTGAGGAGCAAATAAAATCAATACTAACCTTGCATGGATTTAGTAGAGCTAAATATATAATGACTAAATATAATATAAAGGAGATGATTTTAAGGGATTTCTGTTGTGGTACAGAAGTTTTATTTAATTTTTATCATTTTAAGATCTCATCCTGTGCATTTCCTTCCATAGTTCTTCATTTGCTGCACCTGTACCTAACATATGTACTTTAATAATGGTGATTAATAATTCTGATGTTTTCAATGACTTTGTTTTCTTTTCTCAAACCTGTTATCCCACACTGGGTTTTCAGGAGTCCTGTGACTCTTCTGTTTTCAGTACTGGGAACTTGCCAAAGGCTTAGGATAAATGAGATTTTTCTGAATAACTGAGTTCTCAGAACTTGTTCTAAATATTTCACCCTTACAGTTTTACCTTTCATTTGGTTCCTCTAAACCAAGAAGTTTCATTCTGTGTTGGATAATTTGTTTATCAATAATTCTGCAAGAACTGGAAAAGTACTTTCTCTTACCTGAAGCTGGTACAAATATTGGTTGTTTTAAAGCCTTATGTAGTCCCTAAGGAAAAAGCAAACCTGGAGAGAGGGAATATTTTGGTTTTCCACTGTATCCCTGGGCTATTTTCTCAGGATTTGAGGTCAGTAAAGGGTAGTTTTCCATCCATATAGTTCATTATCTCAGACCCCTCCCTTCCCAGGGCACTCTGCCTGCCTTCACTCTTGGAATTAAGTCAGTGTGTTGACTCTTCCCTTTAAGGTCAGAATTCAGGATATGGGCAGTGGAATTGGACTGGGAAACTACCACCAGAAGAGTGGGAACAGCAGTCACAGAAAGCCATCTGTGCTCAACCACCCTGAGAATTAAAGAAACCCCCCCATGCAGATAAAATATCTCAGACCTGATTTAATTCCACTGTTAAAATTCTTGAGCAGGGATCACCAGACCCTGAGTGGTGAGTGCAGCAAAGCAGGGAGTGGAATAATGGCTTTAAATTGTGAGTTTTCTTTAAATACCTGAAACTGTGTATTCTGATGACATTTGATTTGTAAGCAGCAAAGTCAGAAATTTGAATTCAAGCAATTTGCCCAAAATCTGCAGAACCTGAGCAGTGCTCTGGGTGATCCCAGCCAGGGTGAGGAGCTGGGAAGTGCAGCTGTGGCAGCAGTGCTGGGATCCTGGGGGAGGACAGCGCTCCTGCCTTTGGAGGCTCGGGAATGACAAGTTTTCCCCCCTTTTTCCCTGGCAGTGGCCCAAACCGTGGACATTACATCACCATTGTGAAGAGCCATGGCTTCTGGCTGCTCTTTGATGATGACATTGTGGAGGTGGGTGCTGTGCCAGGGCTCTGAAACGCTCTGATTTCAGCCTGGCCTTTTATCTCTGATTTGCATTTTACTCCTGCATTTAAGAGCTGCTCACATATTTTTTTTTCTAGGCAGTTTTCCCCAACAAATTGAAGTGTAGAAAAACTGTAAAAACCAAAACAACAAATGTTTGGGCTCCAGCACATTTTTCCTTAACTTTTCTGCTAACACACCTGTAAAGCTGCCATCACAGGATTTGTATATCCATGTATTTCACAGAATTGCTAAGCAAATATCAGGCAGTAGAGCAAATGCCAGAGTAGAGCTGTTTTTTGTAAAGATGGAAATGTCTTGTTTGCCTCTGAGACCTCGTGGTCAAGGTTTGAGGCCTGATGGGAAGTGTTAAATAGGTGCAGGAAAAGCCTTGCCTGTGTTGAAATTGTTTATTTTTTGAAATCCTTGCTCAGCTTTGAGCATCAGGAGTGACTTCCCAGTGGGTTGGGCTGATTGTGTGACCATCAGCAGTTGCCTGTCTCCCACTTTCGTGTTTTGGGGCTTATTTTCCTCTGTTTCTGTCATGGGTCAAGGACAGAATTGTGCCACCTCATTTTGGAAATAGTGCTCACCTCAATATTTTTAAACCTTTTCCAGCCAGGAGATGAACTTTGCGTTTTAAAAGCAGATGTAAAACAACCATCTTGTTATTCCTTAATTGTTTTTTATCAGTCACTTCTGTGTTGTATCTCAGCTTTTAGGACAAACCAGGATTTCTGCTGATCTGCAAACACCATTGGCACTTTTACAGATGTGCCAAAACATGGCTGTGAAATCTGTGCTGTCATTGGGCATTTCTTTTCTTCAAGCTCATCTTTTATAGAGTTTCATCTAAAATGCTGTAAAAATAAAGCTCTTTGGAGACTTCACATTCAAGATGTGGCCCCCTAGAAAACTCAGAAATCCTGAGGACAGATATTGCAGCTGAAAGAGAGCACAGCAGGAGGGTTTGCCCCCTGAAATACAGTTAAAATCTTCATTGCATTTTTGGCAAGTGACAGGAATGAATAGTTCTGCTCTGCAATAGGAAGCAGTTCATCCTGATTACCCACTAAATGGCAGCAGTGGGGAGGGCATTATTTATTTGTCTGTTAGGATCTCATTGGAAGGCCAACTTGCAATTAAATGGCAGAGAGATGATAATCAAACATTCTGCAGCATATGTGGAAGAGCAGCAGATCCAGGAGGCAAATCAGTCCAAGTGGGATCCTGTGCCAAGCAGAACAAGCTGAGAAACCTGAGTTTCTCTGCCTCGTCTCTGATCTCTGGCTGATTGCACGTGTTGTTGTTGTTAGAGCAATGGAGTGAGGCATCACAGGGACAATATTTACCTGAGACAGGGAGGGAAGGGCAGCCATCCAGGGAGCTGGGCACGTGCAGGGAAGGGTTGGATGTCCTTGCTGGGTTGCAGGAAGCAACTGAACAGTTTTGGTTTGGAGAGCCAGAAGAGATGTCTGCAAGTGGGCAAAGGATGGTTCAGCTCAGTTAATGGGAACAGCATTTTCAGTGCCAGGTGAGGCTGCAGAACCCTCAGAGCAGGTGTGAAACCATCCACTGAGCTGCAAGTGCGTGAAACTGCTGTCCACACTCTCTGTGCTCAGCTGAGGAGGGGAAGAAGGGTCTAAATAATCCTCTTGCAGTTCCACTGTGCTCTCTGTGGACAGTGAAATGAAAGAAGGAAGCCAGTTTTGCTGTGAAAAAACTAAATATATCTATGGGCTGAATTAATCCAGATTGAGTGTTTGACTTGCATTCAGAATGGTGAGTGGTGGAAATGGGACTTGATTGCACAGCGAGTTGGGTGGCACTTCCAGCACGAGTTGCTCATGTCTGAGTTGTCTGCTGAAGAGACTGCAAGGACTGAGGGGTGTTCTTGGGCTGTGTCCCTGCTAAATGAGCCTCTGACAATCTGTAGTAACCTTATCTTAATAAATGGGGTGAAAATGCACCACGTGGGATGTTGGGCTGCTCTGCACCCGCCCAGTGCAGGAGGGAGAACCACAAAACATCTCTTGGGGTTTCTTTCCCCTTTCTCTCTCTTTTTTTAAACACAACATGTTTAACAAAACGCTCCAAGAGAGAATTTCTGCAGCTGCTGAAATCTCATGTCTGCTCTTCTTCTGCTTGGGAAAGGATGGGAAGGCTGGGAAAGGATGGGAAGGCTGGGAAAGGATGGGAATGGCTGGGAAAGGATGGAAAGGTTGGGGAAGGATGGGAAAGGTTGGGGAAGGATGAGAAAAGCTGGGAAAGGTTGGAGAAGGATGAGAAAAGCTGGGAAAGGTTGGGGAAGGGATGAGAAAAGCTGGGAAAGGTTGGGGAAGGGATGAGAAAAGCTGGGGAAGGCTGGGGAAGACACATTGTGCAGCTGAGGAGGCTCGTTTGGGAGGCAGAGCAGAGCCCCTTTGTTTTAAGGTGGAAGCACAGATTGGTCTCCTCTTCTCCCTCTCCCAGTCAGAGCAGCTGTTCAACCCAGAGCTTCTTGTGTTTGGAGCATTCCTTTGCTTCCTCAACTTTATATAAGTATAATATGTAAATGTAACATAATATACAAATATAATATGTCTAGGGAAATGTAATATATAAAGGGGAACTTTAGGCCTCCACAACAAATTCAGGCCTCTCATCTCTGTGGATCCAGAGTCCTAAAGGTATTTTAGGACCTTTTTTTTTCACAGGTATTTTAAAATGCTCCCCCCCTGTGCAGTGCTGAGCAGCACAGGCCCCTGAGAGGGTTTTATTTCGGTGTTTTTCTCTCCCTGACTGCAGAATCCAACTCAGTAATCTGAAGCCAGTTGTTCTCAGGCACAGGATCCAGACATGTGGAACTTGCATCTTCAAAAGCCCTTTCAAATACCCTACAGGCCTGGCTGGTTGGAGAGAAAAGCCACTTTTCTGCTCATAGTTCACAGCTTTAAATACAAGCTGACCATTTAATTGTATTAATACAGCAAATAATTAATTCTTCTTAAAACACAAACCTTGTGATAATATCCCTGTAGGCTCTGTGCCAGCAGATCTGAAGGAAGGAAAGCTCTCTTATGGCCAGAAGATCATAATTAGATGAGATCCCCAGACTTCAGGGTGTAATTACCAGTAGCACTTGCAGGACTTCTTCACTGAAGAGGCTGACAATAACTTTAAAATCTGGAGTTATTTTAGCTGAATGTTAAATCTACTCAACATGTACTGTGCAAAAACCTTCTTTGCTGCTCAGTAACTGCTTTTTTTTTTTTTTCATTTACATTGCAAAACACTCAGGAAAGGTGACACCAGTCCGAACGAGAAAACAAATATAAAAATGTCATGTGGTGCTTTAAGGATACGTTTTCCTGGATCCCCTGTTTTGTAGCCCAGCTTAAGGGTGCCCCCATTCTCTGAGCTCTGTTATTTCATCCTGGTTTTTTCAGCAGTCAGTGAGTTATGAAGTGGAGAAGATGTTTGGTTGGGTTCAGTGTTGTTGTGTCAATGCTTCTCAGCTTTCCAGCATCACCTCCAAGGACTGGCAATAACACCTTGGCTGGGAAAGGGCCTCTGGGGGGGAGGGTTTGACTGAAGCTAATTATAACTCTGGTTAATTTTCAGAAAATTGATGCCCAGGCCATTGAAGAATTCTATGGGTTGACATCAGACATTTCCAAGAACTCCGAGTCTGGATACATCCTCTTCTACCAGTCCCGGGACTGAGGGAAGGACCCCCTGCCCGAGAAACAAAGGGATCAAGATATGTCCAGATGGAACATATTTGTGAGGGCAGGAGCAGTTCCTCGGTGTTGCTGTAGGACCAGGACAGAGCCAGCAGGAGGAGGGGGGTCTCTCCCTGCCCTTTTTGGAGGATTAGTGCTGACTGCCATCACCAGAAGAGCTTTGTTCCAGTTTCCTTCCTGGGCTTCTTTCACGTGCTATCTTCCAAAATCCGCCTTACCTCTACTTGAAACCCGGCTGCTTTGTTTGTCCAGGGATGGAAGAAGAGATTCAAAAGTAGCATTGTAGAATGGTCACAATTCAATGTTGGCCTGAGGCTGTACCTTGGTTTCTGCCATCGTGGGTTTTCTGTATTTTAGCAGAACGATTTCCATATTCAGTGTCAGCTGAAGGCATATTTTAGGAGCTGAGCAGCAGCTGGTTGCTGGATATTTTTGGTGACTCAGACTTGAGAAGCAGCACAAAGCTAAGACATACTGGAAATGTCAAGTCTGTCATTTTTCTAAAGAAAAGCAGACAAAGCCCTCTCTCTGCAGCATTGTCAGCCTCCCCAGCCTGCATTGTTGGGTTTGGAGAACACTAAAGCAGCACTGCTGCCTTTTGGAGTGATTTCCACTCCTCTGTGTGCCCTGCAGAAGGGGGAGAGCTGGGGGCACATCAGCAGTTGTGCCTCAGCCCCAGCTCCCGGGGCAGCAGAGCAGGCCCTGTCAAGGAGCGTCTCTTGCTGTAGGAAGGGGAAGCTCCAGCGTTTCTTGGAGCTGTTGCATAAACCAAAAGTGCCCTCATTCTGAACCAGGAGCTGTTCCACATTTCAGTCAATTCCAAGCCAACTGGTGCATTTTGAATCTGTGCTGATCCACAGGAACAGCACTAATTGGGAAGGGTTAACCAAGGGAAGCAGCACTTATGGAACCAATCCAGGTGTTCTGAGGCCTCAAGGGGATGAACAGGTGAGAAGGAAAACCATCCCACCAACCCAGACATTGCCTTGTAAGTGTTCCTTGTCCTTTGTTGGTAATCTGGGAATCAGAACAACCCCTAAAAATGCTTCTGGTTGTTTTACCTCTCTAGGCCTTGCTTGACAGGGGGAATTGCTGGTCTTTCCAAGAAACAAGCAGTTCCCCATCACATGTGTGTATAGATTATAATCTCAAGGATAACTAGAAAGAAAAGACTGAGGAAGTTTGAAAGAACTGTCAGAAAATCTGGTGCAGGTTTCCTGTTGGGAAGCCCTGTTGCAGTGCCAAAGCTTGTCACAGCTGGCTCTAAATCCCAGTGGGAATGAGTGTGTTCCTGTCTCCACCTTGCTGGGTGACCCTGGTTCCAGCACAGCCCCTCCCCTGCCCTCCAGTGCTTGTTGTTCTTGAGGATGTTTAACTTATGCAATTCTGTGGCTTGTACAGGCTGTTCAATCCTCTCCCAAACCCCTGTCCTCAGGAAAGCAGCATTTCCCATTTCTCCTGGTGGCTTCACGTTCCTTCCTCCCATGACCACAAATGTTTAGCAATTAACAATTAACTCCTGCCTTCAAACTGCAAATGGCCCATCCCCGGGGTATTCCAGCTGGCTGCAGCTCTCCTTCTCCTCTTCCAGAACAGAAAATATGCACGTTGGGGTTTTTTTTTAAGCATTTTTTATTATCCAGAGTACTGTCATTTGGAGAGACACGTTCAACAGCAGCAGATGTCCCTGTCATCCTGTTCCTACTGTGTGCCCATTGTTCCTGGCTGAGAGTCTCCCCTTCTCCACACACAAGCTGTGAGTCCTCTCCTGCTGGTGCCACCACACACTGGCATCACCAAGCCTTGCAAAAAAATTAAAATAAAAATAAAAATTAAAATTAAAAAAAAAAAGAAGAGAGCACTGAGTCAAAAAATAATGAAACAATAAATACAAAAATTAATGTAGGACACTAGACATGTATTTTGTATATCTGGTGATACGTTTTTACAGATGAAATACCTGACTGAGAGATAATATTGAAAGATATATACTATAGATTAAAAAAACTGTTCAAAGTGCACTTTTGCTACAGATTTCTAAGGAGACTAAAAGGAGTTAAAGGGGAAGAGAATGGTGTGATGTTGCTTCTGTAGAATAAATGACCCGGCTGTCTCCAATAAAGGTCATGGATGATCAAATGTGCGTGGCCCAGAGGCTTTTCCTTGAATTCCAGTCCTCAGCTTTTCCCACCTGGCTGAGGGATCCTGACCCTGCTGTGTCTGCACCCCCAGAACCTGTGCAGGTTTAGAGCCAGAGCAGTTTAGGATTCAGTGTCATGGTTATAACTGATGTGCTGGTGAAACCAGGGCCTCCACCACCCCATCCCTGCTGCTCCTCTATCCCTCCAGCAGCCCCCGCAGCTCTGCCCTTGCTTTTCCCTGGGATCCCTGGCTTTCTCCCTCTTTCCCCCCACCCTTGTTGGTCTCCATGAGACTTTGTTGCAAATATTATCTGACTGATCTGGAACAGAGACACTGAGAAGCAAAAATAGTACCATGTGCTTGGAGCAGGTTCACTGCAGGACAGGTCTTCCTGTCTCTCTGGTTCACTGCAGCTCAGCTTTCTAGGGGGAAAACTGGATCAGAGGCTGCTCCCAGGAGCGGGAATTGATGGGATTAGATGCAATAGAAGCAGGTGAGATTTTCAAATGGCAGCTGCTCTGCAAAACCTGACTATAAATCCACAATCCTGTCTGGTCCTTGCCCTGCTGGGTCACACATCAGCAGTAAATGAGCTAATTTTAACTGCAGTGAACGTAAGTCTGACTTTCAGACTCTGCAGAAGGAGCATCACCCAGAAATAACTTTGAACAACCCAAGTCAGAAGGCCTGGAAGTGGTTTGAGCTCGGAGTGCCAGCAGGGTAGGACTGGTGGTGGGACTTGGGCTGGGCTGGTCACTGCAGGTGACTCCAGAACTCCAGGCCATCCCATGGTTATTATTTCTCCCTGAACACTCTGTGTTCCTGTTTTCCTGCTAATGCCACAGATCCCACAGCATGTTTGGGGAGAGGCCCTGCCCTCAGATCTGCAGCAGCAGAGGTGATTCCTGGGCAGGTGTTTGTGCCTGGCACGTCCGGGTTCCCAGCAGGAGCTTTGGGAGTCGCCATGCCAACTCGGTTTAGCAGCTGGTTAAAACAGATCATGTTTGATTGCTACGAGAAAGAAAATAGACTGACAGAGGCCCCTGAGACAAATCAAACCTTCCCACTGCAGCCCTCGGAAGGAAACAATCCCCTGGACCATAATCAATTCCCAACACAGCAAGCCCTGCCAGCGTTTGCTCGTGGGGCACTAAATTAACCTCGGGGCTGCCCCTCTCTGCTCCCCTCCCCTCCTGCAAAGCCAGGCCTGGAGCTGGGGCCACCTCCCCATCCTGCTGCTCTCTCTGGTCCCAGGTGGGATGAGATGCCTGGGATGATGGTTCAGGGTGAGGAAGGGGAGGAGTGGAGCAGTGGCAGCGGGAGGGTGTGGAGGATTCTTTGTGTTCTGGAGATGAAGCTCTGCAGAGAGAAATGGTTTGGTCCTTTACACATCTGGCTCTTGGGCTTTGTGTCAGAATTAACGGCCTCAAAAAGCGACAGGGGGCAGTTTAGATGGATATTGGGAAGGAATTCCTGGCTGTGAGGGTGGGCAGGCCCTGGCACAGGTTGCCCAGAGAAGCTGTGGCTGCCCCTGGATCCCTGGAAGTGCCCAAGGCCAGGCTGGAAGGGGCTTGGAGCACCCTGGGCCGGTGGAAGGTGTCCCTGCCCATGGCAGGGGAAGGCACTGGATGGGCTTTAAGATCCTTTCCAGTCCCTTCCCTCCCTGATCTGGTGCTTGTATGGACCTGGTGGGGTGTGGGGGTGTTCCTGCACTGCCCCAGTGGGAGAGGGGAAGCCAGGAAAGGGAAGGATGAATTAATTACACAACAGCAGGTTAAATATTTGAGTTGCTATTAATGAGCCCATTTAGTGGCTGTCAATTGTTCTGAAAGCTGCTAAATACAAATAACAAACACAAACACAAACCACTGCAGTGCTTTCCACACTTCAGGCTTACTCAGCTGTCTTCCCTCTTCAATCTTTATCAGAACCAGAGCAATCTTTGGGAATTTTGTCCAAAAACTACTAAAAACTGGGTTAAGATTATGAAAATCTGACTTTAGGGCCTTGTTGTAGAATAGGTTACCTGCAGCCAAGCTTTTCCTTGGAAGTGGAACGAGATCAGCTGGGACTGGAGAGGTGGGCCCTGACATCTGAGGAGGTGAGGGGTGGCCTGATCCCTGCTGGGATGCCCAGAAGGAATGGGATTGGAGGGAGAATCAGCGTTGCTGGATGCCATTCCATGCTGGTGTGGTGCCTGCTTCCCAAAGGAGGTAAGAGGGAGCTGCTGGAGCTGGAGCTGGAATGTGGGAACAGTGGGAGGAGGAGCAGATGCTCCCCAAGCCCCACGTGATGTGATCCCATGAGCTGGGATCAGCTTGGATGGGGGGGTGACACACAGGGACCCTGGAGAGGGGAACTTCTAGAACCCCAGGAGGAGGAGCAGGACCTGAAGGGCAAAGCTCAGGAAGGGTTTATGAAGACCCTAAAACATCAGAGCCCCCACAGTATCACTGCAGACACCGTGGCCCGGATTTACTGGGGGCAAAATGCTCTTGGTGCTTCCTGGGAAGTGCCCTGGGCACCTGAACCACCCAAGGGCCACCTGCAGGATGTGTCAGATGGACTGAAACAGCTCAGCTGCTCCCAGCAGGGAATCCCTGGAGATTCCCAAGCTATGGCCGTGTGAAGGAGGGGCCCAAGGGCAGGGATGGGGGCTGGGAGCACCTGGAGTTCACGGTGTCCCCTCATCCCCCCGGCCTCGTCCCTTTCTCCCGAGGGTTTGTATCTGGAGGGAGCTGCTTTAGCAGAACGTGCTGGGTGAGGAAGGCAGAGGTGGGGAGAGATTTGCTGGGTTTTAGGGCCCGGAGTTGGCAGGGCAGGCCAGGAGGAGCTCCGGCTGGGGCTGCTGCTGCCCACGGACCGCGGGCAGGGACAGGGGGAGGCTGAAGCCTTTGTTCTGTGCCCCCCAGGAGGGTCCAGCAGGAGCTGAGCGACTTCGTTAGTGATGAAGTGCCCTAATTAGCACTCAATTATTAAGTGCATTTGTTTCCTTCCCCGGGAAGCAGCCGGCATTTACTGCAACAAATCACTGCGGGGCTGCTGTGGAGGGAGGGAGGGAGGAGGGATGGGATGGGATGGGATGGCTCAGGGAAGGGGAATCACATCTGGCAATGCTGCTGGACAGCTCCAGGGGCTGTTGGGAGCAGAGGGTTGGTATCTTGGAGGTCTTTATGGGATAGACCCTCATCAAAGCCACAGGAACGATGGCCAGGAACCTCACAGTGATGACAACATGGATTTCAGACCTTGTGGGACCTCCTGGTCCTGACTCCTTTACATCCCCTACGATTTGGGTATGATGGTCCTTATAGTGGTGGGTAATTGGAAATACTCTGGGTGTTTGGGAAGCCTCAGCTCCACAGCTGTGTCTTTGGAGGTCCTGGGGGCTCTGGGTGTTGATGGGGGGCTGTGGCAGGTGGGAATTCCCATCTCTGCATCCTGGACAGTCCCGGGGTGATGAAACCCATGTGGTTCTGACCCACACCTGTAGGTGCCCCTTCCCCATCACCTGGCCAAGCCAAGGTGAAACCCCTCAGTTCCAAAAGATGGGTCCCTCAGGAAACTGCTCCAGGTCCCTTTGCTTCCACCCTCTCACCAGCAAAGCCCCAGCTCCTCCCCAGCAAGGGCAGAGAGAGCTGCACAAGACAACACGTGGAGGTGATGGAGAAAAGGGTTATTCTTGGTCATCCTTCCCAAGTCCTCTTTTTCCCCCCCCTTTTTTTATTTTTTTTAATGTTAAACTGTTCATTTTCAGATTTTGAGTCACAATATTTCTCCAAGTGAAAGGCCACGAGTTTGGAAAAAATCCAGTTTATTGCTTCAAAATTCTTTGCCATCAGTTCAGCATAAAAGAGCCAAACCAGGCTGGTACCTGGTGCTGATGGGGATGGAGGGACAGCCCCTTTGCCAAAGGTGCTCATCTCCTTCCAGAGCCTCCTGCCACGTGCTCGGGGTGTCCCCTGAACATGGGGACAAGAGTAGGTTGATGAGGATCAGAGAGTGGGTTTTCAGGCTAAGAAGGGGCATCAAGGGATGTCTGAAGCCCCCAGACAGGCCAAAAATGGGAATATTTTCATTAACTTACCCCCGAGGTGCAGTAAAACAAAGAGTTGAACAGAGACTTTACCTTTGTCTGGTTTGTCCTGGTACAAAACTGACCATAAACCCAGGGTTACATTTCTGGGCCCTTTCAGTTTGTTGAACCTCAGACCCAAGAGAAGAGCCAAGCTTTGGTTTAGCCAGAGTTTCCCTTTTATCCCCCAGGGGGAGGAGGTGACTGGATTTGGGAAAAGCGGTTTCTCCGCACTGTTCCTGCATGGCTGGAGCCAAGGGCTTCGGGAGCAATGACCGGGGACAGGAGCTCCTGGGAGAGCTGGGACTGCTGAAAACACCTCCAACGAAACATCAAACCTCTCTGAAATAGCCCAGTGGAGGGAGCAGGATCCAGTCCAGGCTCTCCAGGGTTGTGGTCACAGCCCGAGGGCAGGAATGGGAGACACGACCTGCAACGACAGCAGAGAGGGCAGAAACCCCCCCGGGAAAGAGGACTGGGGGCAAGAGCACCCTCTGTGTGGAGGTGCAAGAGATGGGGAGAGCAGGAAGGGAAAGCAGGAGGTTGGCAGAGGGGTGAGTGAGTTTTTGGATGGTCCCACCCGTGGTTCTGAACATCTCGGCAGCTCCAAGATTGCCCATGCTGGGAGGAGCCGTGGGTGTCCCGCGTGACTGGCAGGTGGCTCATCCCTCCTCCAGCACTGACACAATTTATTCCGCTCTCTGAGGCTGCAAAGTGGCTCCTGAAGTTGGTTTTTTTTTTTTTTTTCATTTCCCAGGGAGGAAAGCAAATCTTTGCTTCCCCCTGCACCTTCCCCGGCGTGTGCAGCCGCTTGCCAGTTAGTCATGTTCCCAGGAAAAGCAAGGGCTGCGTGATGGCGAGTGACAGCTCTGAGGAGCTGGCACTAATTATATCCCAGCGCTGAAAAAAATAACACACCAGG